ATTATTCCTAGTAGCTTGAACCTATATATTTTTTCCAACCTAACTTTAGACTACTACATGGCAATGTTTAAAACTATTTTGTAAGTTAGTATCGCAGAGTAAAGCGAGGTGGTAGACAATAGGCCTACCAGTAGGCATATTTGGTTTAAAACGACGTTGTTACATCTTCTCATGAATTTGACAGAGGAGCATATAGTCCTAATTTAATTAATGATTAATTCTTTTCGAAGTGCACACAGCAATATTAGTGTTAATCCTTTGGGATTTTATTGTCTAAGTTACACCATTTAGTTGTAAACCTTATCTGTAAACCAAGTGGTTGTGATTTCATTTCGTAAAATTATTTTGTATTTTTAGCTACAGGTACATTTTTTTACAAATTTACTTGCAAATCAAGGGCAGTGTGATTTTTGTCGGTATAATTATGTTATAGTGTTTTTTAATGTCCTCGTTTTAACTTCTCCTTCTCCACGCTACATAGGCCTAGGCCTAATTAGTTGACTATTCATTGTTAAAAAGAACAGAACGATTATACAATTAAATATAAACGTCATGATTTTAATCACTCAATATATGACTGATTGTTAATCACTTCGTATTACATGCAATTAACTAATATGCTCTTTAGTATTCATCAGATTTTTTCTTTTGTACTGTATTTATAATGTGGTAGATTTGTTGACTAACATATGTCGAGGCTCTTGTTTACTTTTTATTGTTTACTCGCAAATAATGTCATGGCAACCAATTAACCCATAAGGCCCATGTTAAATTTCTAAAAGTTTGCATTCATGTAGGGAATATTCCTATGGTCCGATTTGTACCATTTCAGATTTATACCTTCCCATGGTTGGGTACTATGACTGTGTTAAATTTCGTGAAGATCGCTTCTGCCGTTCAGGAGGAGTATTTGTAATAAAAAAGCAGGAGTGTAGTATAAGAGCAACAACATGAAAAATAATAGGATTTCCTGGAATTTTTCTAAAATGTTTGAGATCATTCTCAACATCCCAGGCAATTTCCTTGAATATACTTGGATCATTCATAAAAAATATTCAAAGAAAATTTTTATATTGCCTAGAAATCTGAAGAACATTCTCAGAATATTCTGGAAAAGTACTCTGAAATATTCATGGTATCTGAACATATTAAGTTTAAATTATTAATTTTGTCAAATATCACAAAATAACTTGAAAAATACAAAAAACAATGTTTTTAGGGTAAAAAATGGGAAAACTCAATTTTTAGTCCATTCCCATAGTTAGTATTAAAGTACCGAATAGGTACTTAAAATGCAAAGGATGATGGGGGTGACAGAGATGACTGAAGCCGGGTTTACACTATGTAGCAAAACCTGCTATATAGCAGATTTGTGTAACATCTAGCAATGTTATATAACATTTGCTAGAAGTAGAAAAAGTCACTTTTCAAAAGTTCTATATAACACTGCTATATGTAGCAGATTCTGCTATATATAGCAAATATTGTGCTATCCATCGGGAGTCGGTAAAGCCGGGTTTACACTATGTAGCAAAAACTGCTATATAACTTTTGCTATATAACATTGTTATATAACTTTTGCTATATAACATTGCTATATAACTTTTACTATACAAAAAAGTTACAGACAATTTTGTGATTCCGGTGCCCGTGCTATATGTTATATGTAGCACAACCTCACATTCTGTATCGAAAATGTCGAGCCGAAGAGACATTGTTCGAGGCAGCTATCACGGTGATCGGAAGTCAGAAGCGAAAGCAATCCATAATTAAAACGCGAAATAAGACGATGGTAGATTCAAAAATGTTTTACGTATGACCACAACGCCGGTTGTCCACGGAACAGTTCAATTAAAGTTTATAATAGCATCCCGATCCCACGCACTGTCGCTTTACAGTCCTTCCATTGTAAACAGATCCCCGAGCAAAAACGTCCGTACACAGGAGGCTACAACTGTGAACTTTTGTGAACTGTTGACACTAAATGCTACATATAGCAGATGCTAGACGAAAAATATTTGTATAACATTGCTACATATAGCAATGTTAGATATAGCACGCATTTCTTTTGATCTTTACCGACTCCCGATGGATAGCACAATATTTGCTATATATAGCAGAATCTGCTACATATAGCAGTGTTATATAGCACTTTTGAAAAGTGACTTTTTCTACTTCTAGCAAATGTTATATAACATTGCTAGATGTTACACAAATCTGCTATATAGCAGGTTTTGCTACATAGTGTAAACCCGGCTTAAAGATCAAAAGAAATGCGTGCTATATCTAACATTGCTATATGTAGCAATGTTATACAAATATTTTTCGTCTAGCATCTGCTATATGTAGCATTTAGTGTCAACAGTTCACAAAAGTTCACAGTTGTAGCCTCCTGTGTACGGACGTTTTTGCTCGGGGATCTGTTTACAATGGAAGGACTGTAAAGCGACAGTGCGTGGGATCGGGATGCTATTATAAACTTTAATTGAACTGTTCCGTGGACAACCGGCGTTGTGGTCATACGTAAAACATTTTTGAATCTACCATCGTCTTATTTCGCGTTTTAATTATGGATTGCTTTCGCTTCTGACTTCCGATCACCGTGATAGCTGCCTCGAACAATGTCTCTTCGGCTCGACATTTTCGATACAGAATGTGAGGTTGTGCTACATATAACATATAGCACGGGCACCGGAATCACAAAATTGTCTGTAACTTTTTTGTATAGTAAAAGTTATATAGCAATGTTATATAGCAAAAGTTATATAACAATGTTATATAGCAAAAGTTATATAGCAGTTTTTGCTACATAGTGTAAACCCGGCTTAACTCAAGTCGTCAATCGTCATGGAACGGAGGTAGCTAACAGCAGAACAGAACTGAAACTGAACTGAACTAGTAAGTTATGACTCCTGAGTCGACTCGTTGAAGACCAAATACAACTGAATTGATTCTTTCTGGCGCATGCGCAGTAGGCTAGTCCAATTCCTGCCCTGAAACGCTCGCCACACCACACAGGCCAGCTGGACAGGCACTCAGCAGCTAGGAGGATTAAACATTAAGGAGAGGGCACGCGAATAGGAATACACGTGTTGCGGTGAAGCCAGCTTTAGCAGAACACTAGAGGGGCACGCGGAGCCGTAGAGTGGCAAAAAGCCTCGGCTATAACATGGGAGAGATAGGGAAAAACGCGACGCGCGCTGTTTCGAATTAAAATTGCCGCTAAACTAAAACACCTGTGTTATTCACCGATGGCATTCATAAAGTAAATTAAATTTCCTATCGAACAGTGTCAATCATTCCTATAAAAAATATTATTTATTATTTATTATTGAAGATCAAAGTTGAAAGAATTGACCTGGACTTTGAACATATGATTACTTTAATTACGCTTTTGAAAAAAATATGATGTATCTACACAAATTAACAATTTATTCGTGTTCCTTAAGAGTTTCTCGAAATAAAAAATATATATTTACCTATATTTAAAAGTGGTATTTAGAAAAATAATTACAATAAAGTTTTTTTTTATTTTTCCAGTTTATAAAACAATCTTACTAATAACAGGTTAAAATGGGAATTTTAATTCGGGTGATGAAATACATTTTAAATTTGCATTTTCATAGTTTTCTCGATTTGTTAATATAATTTTTTACTAGTTTTAAGTCATTTATGTGCTAGGCAGGTGATTTTAAATAGCCAAAGTTAAGAAAAAATGCAAAGCCGCTCTAACTTTTTTTACACCAACAGCCGTTACAATTAAATTACAATCATTAAAAGTAAAACAATTTCTTGGAAATCAAATTCTTGATTTTTTAAATATCATATTGAACTATATTTGATCTGTTTACCTAAAGAAACTTCGAGTAAAAAGTGTGAATGTTCAACAATCATCGCGTCTTCTGACCGCCAAAGTGCGTTTATCATTCTTTTAAAGGATTAAAACTTATTTTATTTCTCTTTAAGAAAATGTTCAAATACACATACAGTACTACTCATGATTTGAGTTTTAATTTATGAACAGTAAAATCCATTGGTGATATGGCGGGATTTGAACCCGGGACCCCAGGAACCGGAATCCCGCGCTCTGGTTAGAGTATTAAAAATAATACACAATACAAGTATGGCAAAAAATAAAAACAAGGACAACGAATTCAAAAAAATAAGTCATCCTTGTGTAAATTAATTACTCACCTTTGAACGTACCATTGGTTCATAAATATGACTTTTTCCTAATATTACGGTTAGAATTTAACTTTTTAATTTTCGTAGGATGATGAAGTCTAATTTTTATATAGTTAATTGATATTTCTGTTACCAAATCTTCCAGTAACGCATACAGCGCAGTATGAGAGGGGGGCGGGAGAGTAGCGCTGCCTCCCCCCTCCCCAGTACGCTGGCTTCAACGAAACTACAGCGTGTCCTCTCCTTAATGTTTAATCTAGAGATGGGCTAAATGAGTACATCGAAATACTGATTACTACCGGTACTGATACTCTCGAGTATCAGTTACTTTTGATGATTACTTTGTACTCATGAGTACTCATCACGGCCGACGGGATTTGGTACCCGTAGAGTGTTCCTGTATCAGTATAATACCAAATACCATTAGTGATACCACTGACAGTACTCAGTTCCTTTACATAATGATTACTATGTGTTCTTAAGCAGTTTATTGATTTATAGTGATCAATGAAAGCAGTTTTCATATTTGTGGAATTTGTTATTACTAACGAATGATTATGTATTTTCAGTTATAATACTCAGTTAAGTTTAAACGAGTAGGCTACTACTGAACTGATACCCGAGACGAGTCCTGGTACTGGATTGAAGGTTTAGCAGTACCAGTACTCAATAGTAGAAACGAGTACTCCAGTATCAGATACTTTTGGTTTTGAGTAACAGTTACACACGGGACTGGTGAGTATCCGATACAAAGTATCAGATACTGCAGTCCCGACTCACCTCTAGTTTAATCCTCCTAGCTCAGCAGTCAGCAGGCCAGTAGAATGTTTTGGGGTTATGAAGAAATGTAAAATGTGAAATTGGCGGGTATTTTTTTTATGTTATTAATGTTCCAACCTTCCAACAACTGTTAAAATCAGAGCACTATAAAACTAAAACAGGATAATTGTGAATTGTGAGTATGAATGTGAAAAGATAAAGAGTCCTAGCTGTTTTATCACTCACTGTAACTTGTAGGTTAAGTTCCTAACACTCAGAAATCACAAAATACTAACAAAACTTTATAAAACTAGACCTAGTTTAAATGGAAAGCAAGCTATTGAATTGTTTGTACTTGTAGCCATCTTGAAACCAATCCAAAAAACAACAATCCAATTAAAACACCCTCTAAGTGAAGGTGGGGCATAAGGGAGGGACTATGGGTACAATTCCATATCTATTGGAACAAACAACCGAATGAGTAATATTGATTATTCGATTGTTTAATTCGATATATCGTTTGATTGAACCAACGACGATATATCGATATATCGAACGATATTTTCATTCGGTTGTTTGTGCCAACAGATGGAAGTGTACCCGGTAGGGAAATTGCGATACCACTGTCTTTCCGGTTTTTATTATTGATACCGTATTTAATAGTAAATTTAATAACACGTACAATGCTGATCAAGAAGTTATTTAGTGTATTTTAAAGCGGGGTCTTACAGGCCGAGGGTTCAGTTTGTGTGTGTAAGCGGGGTCCATTATTTTTAAAAATGTTGTAGTTTGCTTGTTTATGGATATATTTTGATAAAACTTGGCAGATTTATTTATTTCATACTAAGATATTGATATTTTAATAAAAAACACACTTTATTAGTTTCCCTGTAGCAGCTAACCTAGGTACTCGTTAAACATAAATGTTAATGTAATAGATAATTGAAAATCAATCCAAGCAAATGGAAATTCGCTTAGTCGGCAGGTTTGCTGCAGCAGGGGTATTTATATTATCAGCAAGTTTGGTTGGTTAGGTTAGGTTATAACAGTTTAATTTTATAAATTTAAATTTTAAAATTAATTTTATGATTAAAAAGTTAATTTTATTACCAAAAAATTATAAAAATTAATTAATTTTTGGTAACTACAGTAAGCGGTTCTTGCGGCAAACGCTGAGCTGACACTACAAGATATGACGTCACCACACCTTTAGCCATAGTCCCTCCCGTATGCCCCACCACTCTAAGTGACACAATCCAAAAAACAACAATCCAATTCAAACACCTACTCTCACATAAGTAACAATGTTCTTGTCTTAGCATTAACATGTTTAGTGCTATTTGATCTATTTTTATCAAGTGAATGATAAAGTGAAAGTTTATTTCGGTTTAATACGATTTATATTAGGTCACGTACTGCGATTACAGAATCATTGCTTTTGGTAAGCAAAATATCTAAGAATCTTCATCACCCCTCTTACTCAAAGGCAAAGTTTTTTCTGTACTTTGAAGATACTAAATACTCAACCCATTCACTAAATGATAAACATTCATCAAAAGTATTCAGACAATAAAGTACAAAGAAACAGCAAAACTATAAATCATGTGTCGGCTTAAAAGCGCGGGCTCCCGCAAAAGGGCACAAAGATGTGTAGGCCTACTACTAGCCGTTCGCGAAACCTCTGGTTGTTGTTTACCCAGTGTCATCGGAAGATGACACTTCACAGAAGATTTTTAGACCAAAATATATAAGATTAAATTTGACTATAACTGGTGAAATACATCTTAAATTAAAGTTATTAATTCGGTTTTTGTCAAGTAATACAGTAGATAAATATATGCCGATGCTTGATGTGAAATCTGTGTGTGCATACATTCAATTTGATTCCTCAATCATGAAAATCGGTCGGGTAGAAGGGCCAAACGAACTCGAAATACCCCTGCTGCAGCAAACCTGCCGACTAAGCGAATTTCCATTTGCCTTGATTGATTTTCAATAAATCTATTAAATTAACATTTATGTTTAATAAGTACCTTGGTTTGCTACTACACAGGGAAACTAATAAGTGTGTTTTTTTTTTTTTTATATTAACCCTCCGAGTGTCATGCGTCGCTGCAGCGACGCGTAACGCACTTTGTATAGTGTCGTGTGTCGCTACAGCGACTCGCGAACACTGTTTACGGCGAAGGCTCTATGACTAACTGAATCGGACTGTACTGGATTGAGTTAGGTATCGTTCTTTCCGTAATATTCTAAGCTTTCTGCAGAGGTCTGTCTCTAAGCACTATTCATTTTAGTTCCGAAAATATTGTAGCAGACAGCTGACTGAGCTGACGTGCGTGTATTTGTAAACAGCTAGGTTACCCTCGGACCGATGACTGATGTGTTTTATTACATTTATCATTGTTTTAGTGTTAAAAATCAAAAGTAGTGATATACGTGGTGCATTATAAGAAGATTTAAGTGGTTTTGAAGTGCTGGTTGATGATCCTGAAGAAGTAGGTAGTGATATTGATGTAAATTATCAGCCAGATTCCTAGCTATGGTTGGGCTATGCATTCTTAGCTAAACGCTATGTACTGAAATCTGTTTTTTGCCCATAACTTATTTATTTGCAAATCTACTTCCTTATATTATTATATATTTGTAATCCTCATAAAATTTAGAACAAAGTGGCTATTTTCAAATATTTATAGGCCTATAATTTATACAATTTCATTGAGCGCAAACTTATTTTTTTTTTTAATTTTCGAAATTATAAATTTTTTTTTACCTAAAAAAATTTTTTAAAAAAATCTTCCTTATGTTTTATATATAATATTGAAGCCCAAGATTTTCCAAACAAAATGGTATATAGAACAGTATAATTAACATTGTTTTTAAGCTTCTCAGATCAGTTTTAATAAAATCTTGCAAATGAGCAAAAAATAGGCTGACATTAAGGCCAAAACACGTGACACTCGGAGGGTTAATAGCTTAGTATAAAATAAATCAATGTGCCAAGTTTGATCAAAATATATCCATAAACAAGCCAACTACAACATTTTGCAATATTCTCCAGAAGAATAACAAGGAAATTTTAAATGAACATTTTTTTTTAATTTTCTCCGTAAGCAATTACCGTACAAAAAAAATTTGATATAGGTACTAAATTATTTCTTTTTTAAGCTCTTTAACACTGTAGTGTACCAGCTGGTGTTATTGTCACATGTTTTAAGATGAATTAATTGTCAATATGTTTACAGTTCAGTTGTTTGTTTACTCACTTAGAATACACATCATGTTTTCAAAATATGTCTAAATATTTAATTCTATCAAAGATTCTATTAACCCTTAGAGTGCCAGGCGAGAAATAAAAGTAACGCTCAAAAAATGCCGATGATTTTTCCCGAAGGTCGCGCTAAAAATGCCGAGCGCGATCTGGCGATTTTTAGGTTAAAATTTTGTAAAAATCGAATTTTCGATATTTCGACCAACGAAAATTGATGTATCGCATCTAGTAACTTTCGACTCAATGTTAATATATGGGTTAAAAGAATCCGAGTATCCATTCGGTTGTTATGACAACTGTTCGATCATTACGAAACGTCCGGTCAGCCGGACGTTGGCACTTTTGGCTCGTTCTAAAAACGTCCGGTTCCCCGGACGTTGGCACTCAAAGGGTTAATATAATAAACCTCAACACTACAAACACATTCACTAACAGGTCACACAAGAGTCCTCACACAGAGAAGTGTGATGGCTGGAAGGCAACGTGTTAAAAAGGTCTGGAGAATAATTGATAAATTTTGTGTTTTAAGGGTAAAAAATGAGAAAACCCCATTTTTTTATTTTACCCCATACAACCCCCCTTTAACCCCGTTCCCATGGTCCGATCATGCTGGTTTGGGAACTCATTCAAGTTTATTCTGCCTTACACCTTCAAACAAAATTTTATCAAAATCGGACAAAAAGTACTCTAGTTATCATCTTCACGGACACACACACACATTACATATTTACATATACAGTGTGTAAATTAAGTATGGAAACAAATCTGTATTTTTTAAACCAAAATAGATAGAAATATTTGGTTTGTGGCATTGACTGTTAACCAAGGTTCCGGAATTTTTTGCATCAGAAAAAATTTTTCACCCCCTCAGGGGGGGTAGGGGTAGGGGGTAACTTAATTTTTTTAAATAGCAACCCCTATTGAGTGACCTCTCATTTTGAAGGGTTTGTCAAAAGAAATACAATGCCGTAAACCTGAGGTCGATATCTTACCCCTAACCAGAATGGCGGCCATTTTAAATTTCGAGATGGGCAAACGAAATCCAGTGTGGATACCCATAATTTACCTTTTAAATGGGTTACATTGGGTAAGCCGAACTCCAGATACCATTATTAGATTGAAAAGTGGATGTTTTTATCGTATTCAAAATTTTGCCCCAGCCCAGTGCAGAATGATAAAAAATCCGTTTATCCTAAAATAAATGGTGGTCAAGAACCAAATGTCAATTAATTATGTTTATAATTATGTAATAAAATTATAAAAAGACATTTTATAAAAATTATTATAGTAATTAAGTAAGAGAGGAAATTATGAAATAGTAAATTGAAATTTTAGAAATAATTTAAGTAGCTTTGGTTATCTCAGCTCCTTCGAAATGCAGATGCACAACGTAGTTTAAAAACGGTTTCTAACTTGGGATTTCCCATTTACCCTTTCTTATCAGTAGCTGTTTGGGTTTCTAAAGGATATTCTTTCGATAATGTTTCATCTACTCATTCTGGTTTAGTTAATTTTGTAGAGAGAGGTGTATTCAAGTGCTTCTGTAGTTTTGTTTAACAATGGTTCTTTTAAGTACACAGCAAAAAATTGACATTCTCCGCATTGTTGGGTATGGGGATAGGTCACGTACATATCAAGAAACTTGTGAGTTATTTAATGAACTGTACCCAGATCATCAAATAAACCGATCTACGGTAAGTAAGATCTGTACTAAGTTCTTGGAAACAGGGGATGTAGCAAATAAAGCTAAAACTGGTCGACGTAAATCAGTTGTAACAGAAGACATGACACTAAATGTGCTTTTGAGTATTCAAGAAAATCCCATTACATCTACTCGTCAGCTCGGTAGTAATCTAGGTTTAAGTCACACTTCGGTTCATAAAGCTCTGAAAGCCGAAAAATTTCATCCTTATAAGGTACAGCTAATTCATGAATTGAACAAGGATGATTTTGATCGTCGAATTCAATTTTGTGAAGAAATGATGCAGCGGTGTATCCAAGATCCGTTATTTAAAACAAAAATAGTATTTTCTGATGAAGCCTCATTCAGCCTCAATGGACACGTCAATAGACAAAACTCGAGGTACTGGTCTGATGAAAATCCACATTGGGCTCAAGAATGCCATACACAAAACCCTCAGAAGATTAACGTTTGGGCAGGAATAGTTGGATTTAGGGTAATTGGACCTTTTATAATTGAAGGTAATATAAATGGTGATCGTTATCTGGACCTGTTGCGCGAGTCTATTGTACCCGCTATTTCAAGAGAGTTTCCTCCTGAGGATGAAGAGCATGCCGTGGATGAAAGTATTTGGTTTCAGCAAGATGGCGCTCCACCCCACTTCGCTGTAAATGTAAGGGACTATTTGGACCAGACTTTTCCAGATCAGTGGATAGGTAGAAGGGGTTCCATAGAATGGCCTGCAAGATCTCCCGATTTGTCCCCTTTGGATTATTTTTTATGGGGATATCTTAAGAGTAAAGTGTATGTAAATCGACCAGAAAACTTACAAGAGCTTTCAGAAAGGATTCTGGCGGAAGCACGGGCAATTGATCAGCAAACAATTGGCAGAGTATTAAACGAATTTTACAATCGCTTAGGACTTTGTCAAGTTGCTCTTGGCCATCAATTCCAACATCTATGAATTATTCAGGTAATAGCAGCAAACATTACTTTAATAGTAATACCTTTTGTCTGTGTGTGTGTTTTACAGTATTAAATTAGTTTTATTATGTGTTATTATTTATGATGTGTATTATTTGTGCTCTAGATTATTTATTTCCTGTCTTATCTGTACTTCAAACAATTCGTTTGTGACAGGTTTAGCGGTACAAAAGCTATAAAATGACTGATCACTCAATAGGGGCTACTATAACAGGCATTCAACATTTTTAATTGGTGAAATGGGCGCTTTTTTACCCAATCAAGTTTTTGAATGCCTGCCATTTCGTCTAGGGATGACATATCGACCAAAGATTTGTGCCACTGCTTTTGTCTTGACAAACCCTTCAAAACGAGGGGTCACTCAATAGGGGTTTGCGTTAAAACATTTGGGGCTGCCCCCAAAATCCCCTATTTTGGGGGCTGGGGCAAAATTTTGAATACGATAAAAACATCCACTTTTCAATCTAATAATGGTATCTGGAGTTCGGCTTACCCAATGTAACCCATTTAAAAGGTAAATTATGGGTATCCACACTGGATTTCGTTTGCCCATCTCGAAATTTAAAATGGCCGCCATTCTGGTTAGGGGTAAGATATCGACCTCGGGTTTACGGCATTGTATTTCTTTTGACAAACCCTTCAAAATGAGAGGTCACTCAATAGGGGTTGCTATTTAAAAAAATTAAGTTACCCCCTACCCCTACCCCCCCTGAGGGGGTGAAAAATTTTTTCTGATGCAAAAAATTCCGGAACCTTGGTTAACAGTCAATGCCACAAACCCAATATTTCTATCTATTTTGGTTTAAAAAATACAGATTTGTTTCCATACTTAATTTACACACTGTATATATACTAGTGAGATTTTTCTGTAAATATGTTATAAAACCCGTTGTTTGTATGATGATGGGTTGTTTACAGGGTATAATGTATCACTTCTTGGGCACTCATCGTCTGGCAGAGACTCTCAGAGACGCCGCCAAGATCGATCCCCACGCTCCGTCGACATGGTTAGTGTGTTGTAGTGTAGTCTTAGAAGAAAGAGTTCCAACATAGATTGTTCAGGACGCTATCCATCACTGGTTAATTTCGGATTTGGAATTTAAGCATAGCTTCCACTCAGGTGGAAAGAAATATACATAAACAAGATAAGTACAAAACTGGGCAATGATGGGAAACACACACTTTATGGGCAATGTTCTTAGATTGTGCGGTTATTATCCTCTGCAGAGTAATTTTTCGGTTTTTAGCGAATTTCCCTATATGGAAGTAGTTATTACCGTAGGTCTCATGGTAAGACCTAGGCCCGGGACCAATTTACTTTTTCATTTTGATGTCCCCAGAGGCCAAAAACACCATTTGTTCAAATTTGTATATATGTATATACATATGTGTCCGTGAACACGATAACTTGAGTAATTTTTATCCGATTTTGATGAAATTTGGTTTGAAGGTGTAAGACGGGATAAACTTGAATGAGTTCGCGATCCAGCATGATCGGACCATGGGAACAGGGTTTTATGGGGGGTTTTATGGGGTAAAAATTGGTTTTTCTCACTTTTGACCCTCAAAACACAAAATTTCCCAATTTTTCTCTAAACCTTCTTAAAGAGCTTAAAAAAACAAACAATTCAGTGTATCAAAGTGTTTTTGTACGGTTATTGGTTACGGAGAAAATTTAAAAAATTGTAAATTTAAAATTCCCATGTTATTCTTATGGAGAATATTGTAAAATGCTGTAGTTTGCTTGTTTATGGATATCTTTTGATAAAACTTGGCAAATATATTCATTTTATACTAAGCATTAATTATTTTACTTTAAACACACACTTTATTAGTTTCCTTGTAGCAGCAAACCTAGGTACTCGTTAAACCTAATGTTATTTAAATAGATCGATTGAAAATCAATTCAGCCAAATGGAAATTTGCTTAGACGGCAGGTTTGCTGCGGCGGGGGTATTTTTTTCTTTTTGTTTTATTGACTTGATTTGAACAGAAGACACAAAGATAGAAGAAGACTCAGAAGACACACCTTTATGGTTACTAGATGTTGTACCCGTGCTTTGCAACAGGAAGAGGACACAAAATGCAAAAAAGTTAATATTAGGCTACTGCACCCTGTTTGTAAACTTTATAACTTTATACATCCACACATCCAAACTTTCTCATTTTTATACCTAATATTAGTAGGATTTAAATGAATAGTGTTTTTTGGCCTCTGTTTGCATCAAAATGAAAAAAGTAAATCGGTCCCAGGCCTAGGTCTTACCATGAGACCTACGGTAATAGCTACTTCCCTATAGGGAAATTCGCTAAAAGAAAAACCAAATGTTTTTAATACATACAAGATAAGCTACTTGAAACCATATATAAAACATACTTAACATACGCTTTAATGGTATTATGAAAAATGCTATAGTAAAAACAACGACAAAATCTATCTAATAACAACAAAGTTATGCCAGTTTTTCTTCACGTAAACACTGTAGCTGTATAAGAAGGCTATAGCCGCGCGGTTCACGGACTAGTAAGTGTTGGGGCAGCGCCCCTCAAGGTCACACCGACACCTCCGAAACGCAACCAGCCCACTACCAGTCTTTACTCTAGTCCTAGTCTACCCACCCAACCAGTCTTTGATAGTTGTTAAGCTAATAAAATAATATAATAAAGTAATTACAAACATCCTTAATCAACTGAACAAAATACACTTTTGAGTGTACAATTTTAAAAATACGTTGATTTAATAAAATAAGAATGTTAATAATATATTTATCGACTGTGTTTTGCAATCTTAAAATTTGACAATCATTATAGGCCTAATTTATAAATTCCATTTTCTTTTTAGCAAAATGGCAACTCCTGAAAAGAAATATAGTCGCAATCGATGTTCGTTCACCGGCTGTGGAAGAAGTAAGGCATCTCATCCAAAGTTAAGATTTTTTTCCTTCCCTGTAACAAGACCAGCTATTTGCGAGATGTGGATTACTAATTGTCAAAATGAAAAATTAGATACCTGCACAAAAAAAACTTTAAACAAGAGAGTGGTTTGTGAAATACACTTCGAAGATGACTCTTATTTGAGTACACTGAAAACCCGATTACATGCATGTGCCGTCCCAACACTACTGTCTCCGATAGAAGAAACGCCTTCCGACAATTTGCAAACAGACAAAGAATGTGACTCAGTACACGATGGACAGATTGGAGCCAACGTCGAGAAAACCCCAGACACACATACAAGTCAACATCATATTGAAGACGAGATTATCGCTAGTTCCTCTCCTAGAGAATTATTTGCCGACCAAACGTCACCAAAAACTCTCCAGACTCCTTTATACAAAAAATTTAAAAGTGTTCGGGGACGCCAGGAAACACCAAAAAAAAGTTTTTCTCCAGGAGAAAGTAAACTGGCTAAAAAACTTAAAGCCTTACAAAAAACTAATAAGATGTACCGACAGAGGCTCTACAGATTAAAAAATAAAGATAAGGTTCTTACTAAGGACGATATTATGGATGCTATTAAGGATATGCTACCAGATAAGGTGTCGAAATTCTTTTGCATGCAGCTAAAGCATGCTGGCGCAAACAAGCTGCCATGGGCCGAGGAAGAGATGCAACAAGCTTTGGCCATGAGGTAAGACCTAATTTAGATTAATTAGCTTTTTGTACATTTTACAATATAGTTAACTTCAATGAGAAATGGTCTTAAACATGTTTAAGGAATTTTATAAATCAACATTCCCCCCCAAAAAAGTAGGCCTACTGTAAAATTCTTATAAAAAGGGGTTTGTAACATTGAATTAAACGTTGACGTTGTTTGCTGTCAAAATATCTTGTTTAACCATACAAATTTAATATCCGTATCTCATTGGGAATTAGAGTACATTAACAATTGAGCCAATTGTATTTAAACGGGCTCATTATATAATAATGACCTAATAATAAACTCCACTATGAATTAGGTCGAATAGGTCCCACTTCTTGTCTTGATGTGCCACTAAGCACACGCACGCACACACTCTTTGCGGTGTTGCTTTGTTCTATTTTTAGGATTTTGCCTGACTGTTCACGCTGATTCGTTGTAGGACACACTTCCCTTCACCGACACCGACGCATCTACCAGCCACCGACTCACCTTTTACTGATGATTACGTTAAGATATTTATCGTTTACGTTACACACTTGCTATCATGTAAACAGCTTCAACTGACTGATAAAAAATAATAAAATTAGCCGACAGTATTTATATATAAACACAAGTGCTTTATTTACAGATGCAATTGGTTGTAGATTAAGGTCAAGTTTCATTTTGTAATTAATGCTCCACCTGTAGACTATTATGTTTCCTTATGACTTAAACATGTTTTAATATTTGATTTATAGATACAAATCACCGGCCCTCTATGAACAGATGAGGAACGATGGGTTTGCCTTGCCAAGCCCCTCTACCATCCAAAGATGGTTAAATGACCAACCAAATCATGAGAGATGATGGCTTAAAACTTGAAGTTATAAAGCTGAAGATTGAGCTTGAAGGTTGAAGCTATAAAGGTGAATAATGTAATAAAAATCAACCCATTGTAAATAAAAAAAAGTATAAAGGTTTCATATTAAACGTGAGATTCTCTTAATTATTAGTTAAATAATTGTAACATTTTCTCAGTTATTTCACCCGCTACAGCGTCAGAGCTACCCTAAAGAAATTCCAATGCTCAGACTGCAAAAGGGGCCTTTCTGAAGCCACTTTCTGCTTAAAAAACTTCCGAAGAGGCCTAAGTATGGTGGCCATTGGGAAAAAATTATGAAATTGAAAAACAAATAAAGGGTCTTCATTAATTGATTGTATAACTAATCCTAAAACTACAATTCATTTTTTAGACTGGCAATTCAAAATTAAAAAAAAAATTAAAATTAAATCTAAAAATAATACAGTAGGTAGTCATGGTGGAAGGAAATACATATACGTATATATATAATAGGTGTGAAATTTCCGTCATATTCTGACGTCACTCGGATTGCAAACAAAAGATCACCTGATTGTAACTGTCAAATTAGTATATGTATTTGTTTTGATTTGGTTGTTTTTGTTTTTATAATGTGTGTTTTATAAATACCCCCGCCACAGCAAACCTGCCGTCTAAGCGAATTTCCATTTGGCTGAATTGATTTTCAATCGAGCTATTTAAATAACATTAGGTTTAACAAGTACCTAGGTTTGCTGCTACAAGGAAACTGATAAAGTTTGTGTTTTAAGTAAAATAATTATTGCTTAGTAGAAAATGAATATATTTGCCAAGTTTGAACAAAAGATATCCATAAACAAGCAAACTACAACATTTTACAATATTCTCCATAAGAATAACATGGGAGTTTTAAATTTACAATTTTTTAGTTTTCTCCGTAACCAATAACCGTACAAAAACACTTTGATATACTGAATTGTTTGTTTTTTTAAGCTCTTTAAGAAGGTTTAGAGAAAAATTGGGAAATTTTGTGTTTTGAGGGTCAAAAGTGAGAAAAACCAATTTTTACCTCATAAAACCCCCCATAAAACCCTGTTCCCATGGTCCGATCATGCTGGATCGCGAACTCATTCAAGTTTATCCCGCCTTACACCTTCAAACCAAATTTCATCAAAATCGGATAAAAATTACTCAAGTTATCGTGTTCACGGACACATATATATATAAATCTATCTAATATATAAAATTCTCGTGTCACAGTGTTTGTCTGCAAACTCCTCCGGAACGACTTCACCGATCGTTATGAAATTTGGTGTGTAAATTCTGTAGGTATGCGAATCGGACGTAAACTATTTCCCGTTTCGAAATTCTTAAAAGGGATCCGCCCCAGTGGCTCTGGAGTTTCCCATGTTAACCTTATGAGAAATGGAATTAATGAATCTTAACAGCTGTTTCAATTAAACAAGTTGGTTCTGTTCTATGATGTTCAATAGCATTAAAGTTACAGGATTACCAACAGGGTGCAGCACTATTATTTCTTTTACATTTATGACAACAGCTAATTTGCAACCAAAAGGTGAGTGAGCGTAGCGAACGAACTTCAACCTGGAGGCGAGTTAGCGTAGCGAACGAGCTAACCTGAAGGCAAGTGAGCGCAGCGAACGAGCTCCAACCTAAAGGTGAGTGAGCGTAGCGAACGAGCTCCAACCCAAAGGTGAGTGAGCGTAGCGAACGAACTTCAACCAGGACGTGATTGAGCGATGCGAACGAGATCATCTTGAAAATTAAACGTAACGGTACTTTCTTTCCATCGGTCTGTCTTAGGGGAAACCTATAACTTAGGCGATACGAAGTTCGCCGGGTCAGCTAGTATATATATATATATATATCTATATATATATATACATATATAAAAATTTGAACGAATGGTGTTTTTGGCCTCTGGGGACATCAAAATGAAAAAGTAAATCGGTCCCGGGCCTAAGTCTTACCATGAGACCTACGGTAATAGCTACTTCCCTATAGGGAAATTCGCTAAAAACAAGAGTGACGTCAGAATATGAAGGGAATAGCACTTCTATGTATTTTCTTTCCACCATGGTAGGTAGTTATATGTTTTATATTTGTTTTTAGTTTTTACATTCTTGAGGGACTTCATTAAATGGTTGTATGAATAGTCCTTACACTACAATTCATTTTTTAGACTGGCAATTCAAAATTCAAAAAAATAAAAGTTCAATCTAAAAATAATACATATATGTTTATTTTTGTTTTAGTTCTTATATTCTTTTGTATATGCGGGGTTTTGTTAGCCGGTAAGAGTACGACACTTCTCATTGACACAGGTATTTGAGTGTCCATGAGAATTTCCTCTCCACCCGAAAAAATGAAAAGGTTAAAAAAACTGTATGTTCATATAAATTAGTCTGGTGTAGGAGAAACATATCAAATTGAATTGTTATTACATTGCAGTACCAAACTTAATTTTAGTCCCATCTCAAATTTGAGACATTCATAATTTTTGCAAACACTATGTTATCAAAATATAGTTTACCCAGCCTAGGCAATAACTTGAGCAGAACTATTTGTATAGAGCGTGAATGATAGAGCATACTCTCGTATTTACTAAAAACTTAAATTATGACAGGGTATTGGTCGAGGTTTTAGATAGGATATTTTATTTCTCAATATCAGGGACAAGATGAAATATATTATGAATATAGTGGCCTGAGTGCTGGAACGATGATTAAAGTGGTTCTTACAAACGCCTCTTAAGTACACTTATCATATCAAACGCGTCTACTCTATTCCATCGCACTGCCACTGCCACTAGTATACTGTAGTATACTGCCACTGTCTGTTGCGAGTGTCGATCGCTCGCCTTGCCCTCGCCATCACACTACTTTAGTTCCTGAATTGGCCGCAAAGGCAGTATTGAACGGATGCCTACATCATACGTTTCAGAGAAATCCACCTGAGACCACAGCGGTCATGCCAATTTTCCGGAGCTTCAACGCTTAGCATGGGGATGATTTATCTACTTGAGGAGTATGTTTTATCTATGGTTGCGGGAACATCTTTATGTTCTTTCTTGTAAAATGTAACATACATATGACACCCTTAACTCTGGCAACATTTTCAGAAATCGGATGACACAACCTACAACTGTTATTACGTGACTGTCACTATTTTCTTCAATTATTTTTCCACTTACTATCCTGAATAAATTAAAAGACAAAGTTCAACACCACATCTTACTGAGACGGATGATCTACGTTTAGCGTTGACATCTGAACTGAATCAACAGTGAGCCACGGAGAGGGGACGGCCGGCTCTTGTTCTCTCAGTGGAGGTGGCAAGGCTTCTCCCACTCTCCCCTCCCCTTCCGACAGCTCTCTCTGGCTCAGTTGCAGAATCATGATGTAGTCACAACATACAGCAAGAATCTCCATGCGGTTCCACTCACCCTCGCTTTAAAAAGCAATAAACGTTGATTAAACAGCCCTCATGTGTTTGGAAAACATGAATTACCTTAATTACCTCTCTCTATGTAGATGCCCAGCTCTTTTGGCACTGGATAGACAGAGTCAAAGTACATACTAGGTTAGGTACTACAAATCAGTCAGTAGCATCACGGACTTCGGGTCCAAGGCAGTGATGTCGTAGGTTCGGATCCTGGTCACTGTTGCTACTTTTTATCAGTACAGTTCACCCTTGTTCAGTACCAGCTTACCCCTTGCTTTGCTTGATACGTTCCACACACAGGTCCATGACCTATGTGTACGGGCAAATGAAATGGTAAAAAATGGCCACAAACCTCTATAAAAGAAAATACTAAAAAGATTTATACACATATTTACAAAGTGTAGGATGCAGCTTAGACACACATTTGAAAAAAAATGTCTAGGGAGTACAAAGGTCTTGCCAGTAGCAACTCTTTCTGTTCGTTTTTAAAATCTGAGGCTCCAAGAGTTTTCAAGTATAGAGGCAGTCGGTTGTTCATCGTAATTGCCAATGTGTAGGGAAGCTGTTTTTTTTTGTTCAGTCAACAGAAAAGGATATCAAGTTGGTCTTCTTTCAAAGCAAAAGATTGAGTTGCAAGAGCTGTGGATGAATAAAACAAAAATGGACAGGGAACATTGTTGCAGCCCCCTTGGGATAAAAAAAAATTAATCAAGTTAGTAACCCAGCTGTTTTCTTTTTTTGTCCTAGGACGCTAGGCACGAGCCTGGTATTGTTTTTTACATTACTTCAGGTTGGACCTAGGGGTTGCGGCATTATCACTTAGATAAAATCCATTGGTGATTTGAACCCGGGACCTCTTGGGCCGAAGTCCCACGGTATAACTACTAGACCAGCTCACCCCCACCCGCACCCAGCTATGTAGCGGCTAGATAGATTGACAGATGAAGTCTTACTTCCTGTACACACTAGCTCGGTCCTGCCGTGTAGTGGAGGATGTAGACAGTAGACTGGCTGGATGCGTCGTCTGCAGTTTAGTCTGCAAGGTGGGCTTGTCCCTCACACTAGTAGTAGGTGGGTCATGACACACTGGTCCTGGGTAGAACACCTGACAGACAATTTGTTATTTTAATAGTTTCTTAATAGTCTTTTTGTTTGGGTCAGGTACAGAATGGTTGAAAAAGTTGGTATTTTAACATAGTAAAAACATATTGATAAATCATAAAATAAGTTTTTTTTACTTCAACTTCCACAGTGTTTATTGGGCCTAGTAAAATTTAGTGGGTAATTACTGATACTTCCATTGACTCAAAGTAATACATGTTTCAAATTACACATTGTGTACGCAAAAAAAGGTCAAGCAAAAGTCAAAGTATCTCAACTTTGAAAATGTAAACATGTAGGTAAGCAGGGTTAAAGGGAAGTTAGTAGTCTCGTTTAAAATTGCAGAAAGTATAAAATCATAGTCAAGTAGATTACAAAGTAAGTTATTAGTTTCTGAATATTTTAACCATCAACACACTATTATTGTTTTAAACTTAGTGTTTTTTTCCCACCTTCACATCCTAGGATGTAGGCTCTGGCCCGGATCCGTTTTGCACATCAATTGAGGCTAGGCTTCTAAAATATCTCACAGAACCTCAATGAATTTTATACAGTTAACTTTTTTAATTTCTCATATTAACACTGTCTACTTCCTTACCTGAACTCCAAAGTGAGGAGTTCTGGACAGCAGACCAAACACAGGAAACAAAGTTGAGAGGGATTGAAGACAACTTTGCTCTTCAATGTCCCATACCTTCAATACCTGGAATATAGAATTTGGAAAATTATTACTACATACCAAAAATCAACTTAATTATTCATTACCTATTATTATGGCTGGGTAGCTGAGTGATTGTACTGGCTGGTGATTGTGCGGCATGGTTATGTTCATGTTGTGTCGAATTTTTTACTGACAGGAAACGGTTTATATAAGTTTTGATTTGGTTCTTTACCAAGGGACGTCAAACGCTCTGGTGTATCCATAAGAGTTTTTAAACTCATTTAAGGCCTTTAGGTTTGTTACCACATGAGCCCACGCTAAAAATAACTCTATTATGTTGATGAGAAACCTGAGCATTATCCAAGATTGGTTGTAGCTCACTTGGGCACCTACACTATGAAAGCAAAGTTGGCTAACTCCGGTCAAACTGTCATACTACGCAAAATTCCGTAATTATTTCAAAGTGACTAAGAAGGAATTTCCCTTAAAAGTTACCCAACCCTTATGACTTAAATAAGGCATATAGACAGACGTTAACACGTTCGCTGCGGGCCATCAAATGGCAGGCGTAGCCTCAGCGCGGCGCAGCCCGCAGCGTCGAACAAACCCGATTGCCGGGTGTTTGGCTCTCATATTTCGGTATGACGAATAGCAAATAACGTGCGGTGATGTCCTGTTTTATAACAAGAGTCGACGTAGTTCACTAAACACTCACATATAGCAGCACTGCTTGGAACGTTGCCGGTCCCATTGTATTGCCAATTGGAGGGAGAAAGACGGGACAACAAGTTGATTTTTAAGTTTGCCAGACGGGGATTTTATGGGGAAATATTACTACCAACCTACAACACAACAAAAAGCAAGTCACCCACTACACGCTAACGTGGAATTGGTCTGCCTTCGACCGACGCTAGAGCAAAAACGATGATATACGAAAGGCATTGCCGAGCGTATCCGATCGGTTACGGCAGCGTCTGAACAGCGCTCGGCCCGTATCCGATCGGATACACCCGCAGTGAACGTGTTAACAAAGGAAGGAGTGCACGTGCCAGACCCTGTTTTATACGCATTCAGTTTTTGTGTCTTTGTCAAGGGTGTCCTGTTTCAGTGAAAAATATGTCTGTGTAAAGACAAAGCCATCAAAACAAAAATCGTATATGGCCGTATTATCACTTCTAACATAGTGTTAAAATAGGTACCGGTACTGTAAATAACTCAGATAAAAATGTAAATAACTTAACATTATACTTTGAAAAAGTTCTTTATCTAAAAAGTAAACCAACATTTATTTCAATATCAACGATGCACTTGCAATAAGCACTTGCAATAAGCATTTATTGCACATGCCAACCCCGTACGTGTACGAAAGACGGGTACTCTGCTAGTCGTTTTATATTTTAGAGAGTTTTATAGTGGTTTCTTTAACTCACAGCATCTTTGGACATGCTAAGGATAACCCTGAGGTGTTTGAGTGCCCGGACGTCGACAATGCAAGACTTGTGTCCGAATAGAGTCACTGTTGGTCTGTAAGTGATCACTGGGTTCCAGAGTCTCAGGATCCCATCTTGGCCTCCTGTCACTAGCAGCTTCAGGGAGCGGTCTAGGTGGAAACATCTCACACCCTGAAATGAAAAATATTTACAATCTAATTCTAAACATACTCTTTTCCACCTTCACGGTGCAGTACTAGTCTTATGGGATGTAGTTGTTTAATGATTTAGCTTTGGGTGGACAGATGTTTCTTAGGCATCAAATGAGGCGACTTCCAAATCAATTACTATGATTTTATAAGCAGTGTAAATCCTAAACTGGAAACATCATGGTTATTGCATTGCATCAAGAATCATTTTATTTTATGGGTTTTAATGATAAAAATAAAAGTCACAGGATGTTTACATCTGATTTTTTACATTTCTCCTTTGCAATTCGCTCTATCCCCATGTCAAAGCTGTCACCAGGTTTTGGAGGTAGTTTAAGTGAGCCACCGACAGATTGTGCTAATGTATATTACCGATTTCTGTCGAATATGCAGACTTTTAAACCAAGTCAAACTGATATAATGATATTGTTAGCTATCCTTTATGTCATGCCAACTATCTCAGTAAAATAAAATAAAAAAATTAATTTTAGACACTACTGCAATTTGTGTCTCATTCATGTTCTTTTGTAATCAAAAATTGGTTTCAGTTGGTCCATATGGATGAGACGAACATACTTCAGTATACAAAATTCAATGATTAAGCTATTATGCCTACACAGCTGATGATGGGGTTCTGAACAAATACGGTTTTTGAGCTGGTTTACACAACCCGTCAACATAGATGGTTAAGGTAATTAAATAATTTTTTGAAACAAAGTGATATGTATACAGGGGCGGCTCCAGAGGGTAGGCCTGGGCCTGCCCAAAATTTTGGTAGATTTTTCAAAATTATAAATAAGTATAGAAATTTTATTATATGTAAATAAAGGAAAAGCATTCAAACTAATTATTTTGCATTTAAAGTTTTAAATTCCTTCCTTTTTGCGGGGAAAGCCTTCAAACCTCTCGTCCCCAATCAAACTCTTTCTTGATCTTTGTAAGGCCTGCCCAAAAAAATATTCCTGGAGCCGCCCCTGTATGTATATGAGTACTATGGTGATGCAAAAAAAGGAAATGTGTAATGTTCCATAGTCAATGTAAATACAAACAGTTTGTGGCTACAAGGATGTTTTAATTCTGGTTTCATAGTCTGATGCAAAGCAAATTAAAGTCACTAGTAGCTTATTAAAGAACTAAAAGTAAATACAACAAAATAAATTCTCACCCGCCTCATTTTGAAGATGTATGGCTTGCGTCGGCCGACCATGTGACGTATGATCACTGTAGTCTCAGGGTCGTTGCTACAGCTGATCACGGTATTGTTGTCACTGAAGTACTCCACTTTAGTCACTTCGTTTTTGTGAACCCCGTATTCTGTTTGAATGGTCACCCAGTCCCTTTGGGACTCTAGCTCCTGTGAAAAACTCAAGTGTTGAAGAGGAAAAATTGTTATTACACTATTAGGTGTAGTTTTGATTGTATACAAGATTCAACTATGAAAAAATACATTTTTTAGAACATTTTGTTGCAATTGTTGAATATTCAACATATATTTGAAGATTGTTTACTCAATATGTAAAAAAATAAAAATATGTACCGTATGTAAGTAAGTAATAAATTTGTTAAAAATAGTCTATTATGCATTCATTTATTGAAACCCATTCAAAATGTCAGTGTTCTGGATAACTTGACAACCTCTGGGTCCACAAATTGTCCAGTTAGTGAGGTTTTACTATCGTTGTAAATTTTATCGTAAAATTGTAACATTTACTTAATCCCCAACAGCTATAATAGTACACAAACAAAAAAGATAAATGTAACTTAAAAAGAGTCACACTCTAAGACACCAAAAACTCTGTATTTGAAATGCAACTAAAAAAGAAACAACAAAAATTCCGGGCGAAAATAATTTAAAGGGTAGACGACAGCTGGATACCTCTGCCCAAGATAGTGTCTCAAACAAAACTCCATAGTCCATAACATGCTATGTTTTAGATATTTATATTCTGAAACGTTGTGAAACTTATTTTTTACAAATTGATAAGAAATGTTTTCAAACCCCACCATCACCAAAAATGAACTTCAAAGTATAAGAATTTTTTCTACCTTCATTGGCCTTAACCATTTAAAATTTTATCAGCACCTTCCAGAAGTAGGTGTCCATACGATCAGTACTGGTCCGCTTGAAGAGGGCGTACTGCGGTTGTAGGAATGTGAGTGTAGCGATAGACCCGTGGTCATCTCCAACCAATAGAAGAGATGGGTCTTCTGTAGTGGCACCAATGGTGTAGTTGAGACACGTAGGAGTGTTGGGTAGACCTAGGCTCAGGCCGAGGGGAAAATTACTCATCTAAATAGAAATTACTACAACGGACAAGGAAATATAGGATATAGGAGTATGTTTAGACTATTTCTTAAACAAGATAATCATAAGTAAATCATGTTTAATCATAAGGATTGGTAGGTAAAATTGCTTAAAATATTCACTATGGTATCTTTTATAGCTGAGTAGCCGAATGGTTAGTGGTCACCAATCAATCTGAAGGCTGGTAAATTGCAATCCTGCAGTTTGTATATGAAACGCTATGGGCCCAGGAGAAATTTGCGCCCCTCCCACCTTCATTATAGAGGGGAATTTTTTGCTTCCTTGCCCCCAACGAACCTAAACCACCTTGAGCTGGCAGATTGGATCCTGGCAAAATTAAGTAGTGTTTTATGCTTTTAAACTGGACCCAGGAGTCCGTGACTATAAATTTATCAAAAAGGGTTTTCTCTGTAACATCCCTTTTTTAGCCATCCTACTCAACAAATTTTTACAGTTGAGGTGTCATTATAAAGCTTCTGGTGGAGGGGCTAATGTTAACTAAAAGTAATTTTCTTAAGGGCTTCACCCCTCTAACTTATGATTAATTTATTCCTTGAGTCCGCTTTCAATTTTACTGACCGACGTTAAAAAACGTTTTAGATGAGAAATTTAATGTGAGCAGCTGGACCAATATGTGTTTAATTACAATCTGATTGTAAACAAGAGACAAAACTGTTTATTAAACTGCATGTTAAATAGGCTATTTTAAAACGTTTTTATTAGCTCGCTTTCTTGTCCGGTACAAATTTTGCAATCAATTTTATACTAAGTTCCCGATGAGCTAGAGACTTGAAACTTGAAACATAGCTCACAAATGGATGACAATGCAATATTATAATTTTATTTTCATATTTCCCAAACTCAAACTCGCTTATCAACTCGCTTTCTTAAAAATTTTGATACTTCCCGATGAGCTAGAGACTTGAATCTTAAAACATAGCTCACAAATGGATGACAATACAATATTATATTATTTAATTTTCATATTTCTCTTGGGCTACGCCCCATGGGCTTGTTTTTATTAGCTCGCTAGTCGCTTTCCTACAAATCTTTTTGATATCAATTCTAAACAAAGTTCCCGATGAGCTAGAGACCTAAAATTTACGCACATTCAAATCTGAAGATCCTGGTTTGATTGGAACTGAGTAAATTCTGGACCAAGATCCTATGGTGATCAATTAATGATGCTAACAGAAGGTCATACAGCAACAACACAACGTTTAAAATGTCAGATCCTTTACAAAAAACCCCAAAAAATTGGCTTTAGAAAATATATGCAACAAAAATATTGATTGACTTGCCGGAGATGTGGTACGTAGGCACATGGACCAGCCCAGTTGCTGAGTACAGGTGGAGACTACGATCACTCACAGCTATCAAAAGCATGGCTGCATCAGCAAGATAGCAAGCATCCGTCACCCAGGTGTTGTTTTGGCGTCTTTTTTCTTCACTCTGAGAGCCCAGCTTTGCCTAGGATTGGTATTCATTGACTATGGATACTGCAAGTATTCTCATTGTAAAGTAATGATAGCCGAAGCTGTGTATTATGTTGAATTTAGACAACATTGACCCACCATGCTGTGTATTTTGAAGTGAAGATGAGTGAAGAGTGATTATTGAATAATTGTGAATAATTGAGATAATGGCTTTGTAAATGAATAATACTTGCTGTATCTTTCGCCTGAACCACAGTCTAGTAATAGTAATCGAGGAAAGCTGATAGGTTCAGACTCAAACTATCAAAAGCTACTGACTTGTCTCAATATCAAACATTTCTATCATGTGAACAGTAAAACCACTCAGCTATCTTAATTCAGTACCATATTTAGTCTAGAAAGTACTCCCCTAATTACTAGCATTGTAAGATTGCAGGTTTGATCCTGAGAAATGTATAGTTTTGATGGTTTGGTACCCATCTGTCCTTGATCATTATTGCCTTTCAATAAATATAGTCCTCTGGCGGTTGTACAGCTGGCCTTAGTCCCAGCAGCAAAGCCACATAAATGATCTTACTTCATTCTGCATTTATCATTCACTTGTATTCAGGTTGAAATACAGTATGCAGCATTGTGTCCCAGTAACTCTAAGGTAATGACAAAATGACATTACTTTCATAGGTTTCATGATGTACTTTCATACATTCATACATTGGGTGTCATTTCCAAACAAATGACAAATGAGAACTAATATGACCAATTCTGAATTATCAACGTATGACTGTGTTTAATCTTCAGTAAGTAAAGCTTGAGTGTATAATAATGTTGACAGTAGGTTTCACTTTTTGATGGTGAATTTTACAGTGAGTGAGCACTTCCTGTGAGCTTATAATTTACAAATAAACTGTTTTATATGGTTTTAATTATTTGCTGGTGAAATCCCTCTATAAATAGAGAGGAAAGAGTAATTAACTACACAGGCAAATATTACCAAGTATTTGCAGTTGTTTTCTATAGCCCTTGGGCTCTAATTTTCTCAGGTAAACAGCTGAATCCTATAACTTTCCAGATAAATAAAACCACCTAAAAGGATTTTTTATTAGTGGTATAACATATGGATGAGTAGATTATTTGTTTAATAAGCTTCATAGTTCATATGTTCATACCTGATATTGCTCCAGCAGTCCTAAGCTCCAGTCGTAAAGGCCAACTCTAGCGTACTTTGATACCACAACATAACAGAAAGAAGTTTGTGTCTCTACTGGTACCACTCGCACGATCATTTCTCTCTGGACATCATCAAAACATTTCAAGTTTAATTACCTAGCTGCCTTTAATTTCTAATAATCCCTTTTGAATATTATATACCGGCACCATAAATAGCAAGTTTAGATGCTAGGTAGGTGAAAGGTGATACTTTTGGATGTTGGCTTGGCTTCACATATTAATCTATATGTATTCTTGTGGAATTACAAACTATATGGACCCAAATCCAAACTGAGGGAAAAAATATTAACTCACTTAAAAAATTTTAAAAACCCAGAGACAACAGAACAAACTTTCACAACATTAATAACAACTTATTTTGCCCTACTATCGGAATAATTCTTCGGAGAAGAAAATGTGAGCAGAATTCATGTATCCTATACAGAGTCAAATTTCCTCATGTAAGCATCTGAACTATTTCCATTTTTTTTTTTTTTTTTATCTTCCCTTTAAAAGTGCAAATTTAAGAATAATAGATACAAATGAACGTTTTACTTTATCAGTGTTACAGTCGAACAATCATAAACATTCTGGTTCTAGTAGATAAGATTAGATTATATTTGTACTACGCCAACACATCAAAGGGTGTGTATTTTAAAGGTGAAAAATGACTTGAGGTTGAGTGTTACATGTTGGATGAGATAACATCTTTAGTAGTAATCAGGCTCAGAACTTCTTATTCATGACATACTGTTGTCAGCACGGCAACTGCACAGGATCGTTTGATTCTTTCTCATTACTAATCCAAAATGTATTTATTATCATAAAGTAAAAGAATAAGACTCGATATGAAAAAATAATCAGGCTATAATATTTTTACCCTGCAGTGAGGCAGTGTGAATAGCTGACAGAAGGGCTGTTTGATGATGTTGCTAGGCCGAGGTCTTGCCTGACTGACTGTCCACTCAACTACGGCATCCAACAGCTGTTCCCACCACAGACAGTCTCGGCTGCCGTCTGCGTTGCTTTCCACCATGTGATCAAACAATCTGCGGGCCGCGATCTCATACGCTGAAGTCTCTGCAGACAAATCATATATTTCTTGTGAAGAAATTATTTTCAAAGTTTATCTTTACACTCAAATGATCTTATGTTTATAAGGTAATAATTGTTTTACCTGTATTTTGCAAAAAGTATGAACCAATAACTAAAACGTTTCTTGCAGCGGTATGGAGTCAATTGTTCCAATAATATCAGCATCACAAGTTAGTAATGTACATACGGGGTTGTATAGAGGAACTCTTGGATAAAATACTGTGACCATGGAACCTGCTTATGTAACAATCTGGTATATGAAGGATTGTATCCAATACAAATTTATTACCTAAAACAACTATTGCTATACAAAAACAAAAGAGGTAGAGGATGGAACTTCGGTGTCCGATGTCCTTGGTTTAAACACCAAATAAAGGAATTTATCTAAGTGGCTGCAGCCCTCTAGGTCTGACCTGAAGTATTGCGTAAATTGGTTCTGGGCTAGAGCCTAGTGTCCTGGATGTGAAGATGGAACATATTACAGAAAAAAAATCCTCAAACAGCTTTATAACATAAATGAACACAGAAAACATTATATTTACCCAAAACACTCTCTACAGCAAACACAAATTCTTCTTTGGTGAGTTTACACCATCTGAAGTGTGGAGGAGCACTTCCTTTAGGTTGTTTTACTTTCTCCGTTGTCTTTTTCTCGTAGAAGAACTCTCTTAGTCTCGTTAGGTCCTCTGTGTCGAGTCTCTCAAGTAACTCACTTCCATGGATAAGATGTTCTCGGTCCCTGTCCTGTTCAAAACTGCAAACAGGAAAGAACGAGATGTTGTAAGGGTCGAGGGAAACAAAAAAAAGTCATCAAAGCACCCAAGAATTTTTAGGCTTTTTATTGAAATGTTGATAATAGTATGAAGTAAACAAATTTCATTAAAATATGTACACAGACAAGCAAGCTTTAACAGTTTATTTATTCTCCATAGGATGGAAATTTTGTATTTACCCTATTTTTATTTTTTCCGTAACCGTTAGGCAAACAACAACTCTTTAAACCTACTATTTTTTTTTATTTACACAGCGGTTTTGAAAGAAATTTATAGCTATATATAGTTTTAGGGTTTAAAAAATGGGAGAACTGATTTTTACCCCATAAAACCGCCCATAAACCCTGTTCTCATAGTCCAATTCTGCTGGTCTGTGAACTGGTTTGAGTAAACGTATATGTTTACAAATTTGAGTCAAATTTCATCATATTTTGATAGTTTTTGGTCGAGCTATTGCGCTAACGGACAACGGATCCACAAGCACATCCAAGGCAACACTAAATAAGTGTGGCCTTGGCACATATATAAATATATACAGGGTGGCTGAAAAGTCACTACCTATTTTAAATTAATAATCATCATGACTTCTGGCTATGATCTGGCATGCGCAGGCAAGTGATGTGGACTATCTCATCAAATTAATTTATCTAGGAATGTTACATTGAGCCTATCTCAAACAATATTCATGATGATTCACTGCCACTTTCAAAAAGTTTATTATGACAATTTTTTATTGCTTTAGAGGCTTTATTCCATTCAGTACCCTCCACAACCTCTGGACCTGCACAATAGACTGCTTCACTATCATGAGACAATTGTTGTCCTTTCCTCAATAGTACTTCAAATACCAGCCGCAATAGCAGACTTAAAAGCTTCAATCAGCTGACAATTTGAGCTACGAAAACCATATTATAGGGTTTTGTTGATAAACATTTAAATTAGGTACATACTTTTCAGCCACCCTGTAATTGAACACATTATTAAATTAATATATTGTGCCCTAATCGCAATAATTTCTATTAAAATTTACATAAATTAAATCGATCCTGGGTCCAGGTCTTACCATGTAATACTTAATCCATGTAACATGTAGGTGTAGCTTAATCCCCATTTGGGAAATAAATTCGCTATTAATAAATTAATTTATTTCAACTGATAATGCAACACTAGGCTTAGCAATAATCTTAGAAAACACCCTCATGATGGTGGATGGTGGATTAGTAACTCTTAATATGAACTTTAACCATAAATTATATGCATTTACCTTGAGCATATGCCTTCAGTAGTACTACTATTTTCTACACTTGGCTGGTCTAACAGTCGAGGATCGTCCATTGTTGTATAACAATCCTAAGATACTATGAATAAATAGATACCATTGATTAAGTAAGATACACTCGACCGAAAGCGGCGAAAGCTACCCAAGCATGTCAAACCAAACTGCTAACCCTATAGAAGCTTTATTGATCAAACCAAACAGTGACTCGTTTCCTCCTTCTATTTTCTAACTGCTATACTGCTAAAATATCAAGAAAACATCATTTATTTGATTTTCATTATATAATCTGTTTGTGTATTTTTAATATTTATCTATAGGCAAAAAAGTTTCTTTAAAACCTTTTTACTCAGCTTGTGTGCATCACAGGAAAAATCTACGCATACTGTTAGAAAGATTTTTTTCCTGTAGATGTGCAGAATCCCTTTATAAATTAAAATAGGCTCAAAAATAAGCACAAAAATGTAATTGAAATTTTAAAAAATAGCCATGGGGCTGCCATGCTGGTGACAAAATAACAACAAAACATAAACAGAAAATCAAAAGAAATGGTAGAAATTCCAATCGCATGTTTTAGAGTTTTCCACCACTGGATGACATCTAGTTTATTTTATTAGACAACCCTTATTTAACGGACATAATTTTTATTTTAAATTTTCAATGGTTTGCGAATGTATTTTTAAAGGTTTTTTGAAATCCTAACTTCGTACAACACTAAATCAACTGTTTTAAACTCTATCCAATTTTCATAGCTAAAATGTATTTTCCTGATGAATTTATAAACATTTTATAGTTTTAACATATTACAAAAAATAAGGTTGAAGTAATTTTTTGAATAGTTAGTTTGATTTGTGGTCAAATAAAGATAGAATTGTTAAAGAAAGCTTGAATTTAAGTGATTTGACATACATTACTACTATGATATTGAATAAATAGCATTTGTAAACAACTAAAGCAGTCCTGGAACGCAGTGTCGCTTCAAACTGTAGTGATTTTTCCTACCTAACAATGGGATTTTGACTGCTTAGGCGTTGACAGTTACCTATCCCTGTGGCCTATTTAGATATTTTTACTGGTTCCCATATTTTTTTCTAATGGTTACACCAAAACCTGGCTACACCACTGCATTTATTTATTTATTTATGGTAACAACCATCCCACATAGCACAGAATATCCTCAGGATATCCCACAGAGTTCCCAAAATGTCCCAATATCCCATGAGATATAGGAATATCCCTGGGACATTCCTGACATATTCTCATTACAATAATTAATTTAATTTTTGAGGGTTTTTGATCGAGGGGCAGGAATATCTTTGGCATATCCCTAGAATATCTACGATATCCTTTTTTCATAATTTATTTGTAAAATCCACTAATAACTCAAGAACTTCTTGAAATATGCTACCAAATAAGGACAGCTTTCCCCACACAGCACAGGATCTTGATCAGTTCCCACATATCCCACATAATAAGTTAGATCCCAGGATTTGAGAATGCCCCTAGGATCACTCTAAGATATTCCACATATCTAACACAAACGAATGCATTTTGAGGATATCCTGAGGACTTCCTATGGATATTCTCGGTAGGCTACCTATATTAAAACATATTTTATAGTATTGGGTGTATTTTTTCAAGTGACAAGTGCTTGAGAAACGTTATTAAAAAGTATTTCAATACTATTTCAAATTAAAATAACTAATAACGTTACTAATGATTTATAAAAATTAATCATGATTTCTGATCATATCCATAGGACATCCTTTGGAGATCCGTAGTATATCCCCGTGGGGCATAATAACTATCAAACTCGAAATTTTTACCATTTTATAATTAATAAATAATAATAATAATACAACTGCTTACAATAAAAATAATATTTAAAATATTTTCTTTTTAATTTAAGTTCTAACTTATTTGAGAAAATTTATTGGTTGAAATTCAAGGGGAAATATTAATTAATCATATAAAAATTATAAACGATATTCTTATTACAGTATCCTCTACAACTCCCAGAAAAACAATTTAACAACTTCATGCCTAAACAGAATCATAGTATCAACAATATTTAAGTAGGTTGGTATTGCGACCATTTCAGCTGTCGGCTCCTCTTTAACCGCTTGAAAACTAGTATTATCAACAATCACAAGTAGCTCAGCAGTTAAAGTAGGAGTTTCATAAGTCAAAGGTACTCAGCTCAAAACTCGTCTGGGCAAAATATTTTTGTTTCTATTTTCCCCAAAATTTGTTTTTATGAGCTACTTAATTACACTTAACTGGTAAAAGTGTTTTTCAGACTAAATATTTATTATTTTGTGTTTTTATGTATAACTAGCTGTACCCACGGGCTTTGCCCCGGTTAAGTTCATAAGTATTCGCATGGCTCAATCACGTCACGGTTGAAGTTCGCTCGCTACGCTCACTCAACTTTAGGTTGGAGCTCGTTCGCTGTGCTCACTTGTTTTCAGGTTAGCTCGTTCGCTACGCTAACTTGCCTCCAGGTTGATGTTCGTTCGCTACGCTCACTCACCTTTTGATAGCAAATTAGCTTTTGTCATACATTTTTAAAAAGTCATCCCTTTTATTGTTTATAATACTTTGATAAAGGTTTTTATGTTTTAATATTTAACATTCGAGAATTTAAACGTTGTTAAGTGCACAGGTGTGCTGCGATTGGGGTTTAATACGTTTGGACTTATTCAAAAGTAAAATAGTTTTCTGTGCTGCACTCTGTAGAAACACTGTGGCACTATTTCAAATCATGACTAATGCTAATACAGAATGTTGTAACTATTCAAACCTACAAAACAGTTGGTGAAAGTAAAAATCTGCTTTTAAATTATATTTCTTTGTAAACATTCTAGATCAAAAAGTCTGACATTGGCCCACTTAAAACCCTCTGGGGCAGAGCCCTTTTGACAGATCATCACCAAACTTCACTCGAACCATCCTTGAAAGATGCTTAATAATGCCTGAAAGTTTCATTAAAATCTGTCGAGCGGTTTCGGAGTCCATAACGTATATACATATATATATATACACACATACATAGTTCCTCTTTTATAGATATAGTTATCCTGGTGGGATATCCCAGGGATCAGGATTTGGGCCGACATAGGGATATCCCAGGGAGGCAATCCTCCTCCTTTGAGACAACCGAAAAGAGTTTCACATCGGCAAACAGTAAAGAGTCAGTCATAATAGTCTCTGGTAGATCATTTACAAACAGTGAAAACAGTGGAGGCCCAAGACGAGATCCCTGTGGTACCCCTGAGGAGGAGACAAATTCTGAGGACAGTGCGCCTGCAAATTTTACATACAGGCGCCTAGGCGCCTTATAGCTATTCGAGAGGTAGCTAGCCAACCACCGAACTGAGGTGTTATCAAATCCCAGGCTGACAAGTTTTTTAAGGAAAAGAGTATGGTCCACTGTGTCAAACGCCTTTGAGAAATCCAAATTAACTGCATCCAACTGGTGTTTTGACATGAAAGCCTCAAGTATTTTAGTTTGGAAAACTATTAAGTTAGAGACGGTAGAACGTCCTGATACAAATCCATGCTGACGAGGGGAGATGATGCTGGCTACTTTGTGCTTGATTCTGTCCAAAAAGAGTTCCTCAAACACTTTAAATGTACTACTTAAATAATACTTTTACTTGAAATGGTATGTTTAATCTATGGTTTTTAATCAATTGTTCTAATCTTTGTCAAATCTAGTACTTCATTTGATCTTACCTTCCTCTACAACGTAGAAGGCCTCTTCAAACCCTGATTAAATTAATTAATATACATACATAACCAATGACTGGTAGAGACATGAAGCAGTTCTTCTCTGTGATCTAAGCGAGTAAGTTAAAACAAATTGCATTGTATTTTAGTCATTCTGCTTTTCTGTGTTAAAGTTGTCGTCATTTTATAACTCGTCGTATCAGCAGGAATCCTGATGAGTCAGGGTTTTAGCATTGTCCTACTTCAGTCAGCTGCATTTTTTATCTCCTTCCTCCTCTTTCCCTCTCAACCAGTGTTTCCATTTGAGGGATAAAAATCCCTTTCTAGGGATATTTAGGGCCTTCGAGGGATTGAAAAGGGATTGAGGGATAACTAGGGATAATCAGCGAAATTGAACGATTTTTGAGATTTTCTAGGGATTTCAGGCCTTTGACATTATAAAATTGAAATATTGATAAAATAATACATTATGGCTGTATTTCAACAACGTTAAGGACCTATTTTGGCTCATTTTGCAAGGTATTGATAACACATTGATAAAAATACTTTTCCCTAGGTTTTGGTAACAAATCGATTATTGTAGCATAGATAAAACAAACGGTTAGTCTATGGTTGTAGGTAGTGGTAGTGACGTAGGTAGTGTTTCAAGTTTCAAAGTCTGAACACTCAAGGGGAAGAGTAACAGCCAACACTGCACGAAACAAGCAAAGTTGGAGTTGGTCGGTGGAATGGAATGGCGGATCTAGATTACTGTATTTATTTGTTTCTTAGTCCTGTGTCAATGTCGAATGTTTGTTTTCGTTTTCATTTTGTTTGCCGGTGATTTCTGTGATGTCTGTGATGTTCTTTGGTTAGTAAGTAACTTGGTGTAACCTTTTCACCAAGGCATGGTGGCCATGTTTGAAAAATACCGTACTATTAAGTTTGAAATTTGGACACTTGAGTAATATTTTTGAAACAATTGTAGGCCTAAATACTTATAAATAAAAATTATTAGTTTATAAAATTTAAAAAATAACTATTTGTTTAATTTTTTAGTTAATTAATCTTGTTTTGTACCACATAGACAGTTTTTAATCACGGCTACCTTTATAATTCCAGACCGGAAGCCGTGGCCTTCGAAGTGGCAACGTTGCAAGTATAGTGTTGTAAAAGGTGTTTGTTTGGAGAACGCTAAGCTAATGATATTTATGTATTTTTTTAAGAATACGAAAGCTTGGTTACTGAGCTATGAAAATGTCGACTCCACATTGAATGTACAGAAATAGATTTTCAATTTATATTGTTTTGGTTTTCGATTCTATATTATGTTTTATTTCCATGTTAACTTATGGGACGTCTGGCGCTAAACAATACTACGGTACTTGCAACGTTGCCAATTCTACCAGGCCGCGGCCTGCCTGGAGTTAAAGATGGCCGTGGTTTTAATGGTACAAAAATGTTTTTATATAGTATTAGGCCTACTTTATAAATAATATGGGATATTGAAGAATAATATCACCAGTTACCATATTTTTAGGTGGCTATACATGATATCCATTGGTATTGCTGCAAAAATAATAAGCTATCTAGATTTGATATAGAGGGATAATTGGAGGGATTATTAGAACACGGACTAGGGATAACTAGGGATTTTTTGACGTTGGCCCAGGGATATTTTTTTCTTGCGGATGGAAACACTGCTCTCAACCTTGTGACGATCATCACATCACTGGTGTAGTGACGTAACGTTCAAGCTCAAGTCTGTTTCTGTTGTGTGTGATCGTGATCTATTATTACATCGCTGAAAGCTAATTTGAATTGAAGCTGAAGTATATTTTTTAATTGAACTATTTACAAATTAAAATATCACTGACGAACACTTATTTTTTATTCAACAATCTACCGTCTCTAGTTTAAAATGGCTGCAAAAGTGGCAGAATACAGAGAATCACTTGAAAAATCTCTTCAAGACCCGAAGAAACCCTGGACAACATGGTTTGCCCTGGCAGAGGAGAAAACCGGGGTGAAGAGATTGTATCTGTTTTTAGGTATGTATATTTCTGTTCTTCCTGGGTTAAAATGTAGATCATTGTAATGTTCGTATTTGCCAAGGTAGCAGAGTTGGCATTATCGTCATTGCCCGTTTTTGCAACTTTTGTTTTAAGTCCAAATCGGTCTTTGTAACTTTTAGTTACTTTTAGTGAATGATTTGGTCAAACTCTTAACTTAATCAGAATATGGCTCCATTTGGAATACCTGCTATTTTAGGAGAGCTAGGTCCCAAACAGTTAGGTAAGGTTTTGATTTATTTCTCTAGCCTAGCCTAATTTGGCTAGATTTAGGCTAAGTTTGCCTAAGTTATTAGGCCTACTTGTAGGGGTCCTAGTCTATGCCTATTTCTTAGCTATCCTACTCTTTCCTTTGTTATGATCATTGTCTTTTCTAGACCTAACTTAAGTTAGTTGTGATATAGGCCTAGTGGGTACTTTCGTACTAGGCCTATAGCCTACGGAGGCTGCCACTTATTTTACAGCGCGCTGTGGCAGTTGGGTTATCATAAATATGTTTGTAGGACTTTCCTCGATTTAGTCATGAATCGCTAACTAGATGAGTCATAAAAAAATTAAGTTATGATAACAACCGCCACAGCGCACTGTCTAGAGAGGCCTCTGTATAGGTCGGCCTATACATTTTGGAGAAAGGCAATTTCATGCAGAAAAAAAACTGGAAATAAGAATAGCTTACATGGCAAGTGGGGACAGCGTCGATTTCAAGGTCGGCTACCAGCGACTAACTTACTCGCCCCAAAAGTTGAACATGTCCGACTTTCCTAGCGAGTGAATTTTCACTTGCTGGCGAGTGCTACTCGCCGCTACTTACTATGACACACATAGCGATTAGTAGTTGCGGCGAGTAGCCTAAACTTGCCATGTGTGACAGGGCCTTAAGTTAATTATATCTGTATTAATTTGTTTTCGTCACTTTTTAATTTTGCTGCTAAACTTACCCATCAAGTAACTTAAGCTTAGCAACCAGATGAATCTGTGGCTCGATCGATAGTGCCATGGACTTCTGGCTTAAGGCAGCGATGTCGTGGGTCTGGATCCTGGTAGGATAAGTTACCTGACACTACTTTTAATCAGTAACTTACAGGCCTACAACAGTTCAACCTCGCACTGTTCCAGCCCTTGCTTTGTGGAATACGTTCCACACACAAGCCCAAGAGGCAAAATAACTTATGTGGTCGTGGGCAAATGTACGGTTTAAAGAGACCACCAGTGCATTTAAAAAGTCCAAAATGGTTCCATGGTTATTTTTAAGTTAAAAGGTTAGGCGTAAGTTAAGTTAACTTAAAAAGGATCAGACCTTACTTGGTTACCGGTAACTTAACTGATAGAAAGTGAAAGATAGCCTTAGCTGTGACCACATGTTGATCCATCTTAGCCTAAGTGGTCTTAACCTAAAGGCTATAAATAAATTTGTGCATATTAAGTAATTCTTATGTAGAATAGGCTATCTTAAGTAAAAATGTTTGTTATTTGCGGTTTAACTTTGATAAGTTATAACTTAACAGGGTGTCCACATTCTGGAAAGTCAGGGATAGTCATGGAAAAAAATTATGGTCATTGAAAGTCATGGAAATAGGCAAAAAGTCATGGAAATCCCCAATAATGGATGGATTTCAGGGGACCTTTCAATGCTCTAGTCGGCCGTAACCGTGACTATTGTAGCATTTTTCCGAATTTTTCACAAATGTACAACAATTTCAATTTATACAGTTGTCTTAGTTTATGGGTTTTGAGTTTGTATTAGTTCATTGTTGTACCTATTGTACTCCATTCCATTGTTATCTGTTAATACATATTTCAATATTTTCTGTGAAATAACTTGTCTAGGCAGTATTATTCGTGTGTGTACGGTATATTATAATGTTTTAGTTAAGTTCGTGAGTCATGGAAATCAATGGTTAATGGTCATGGAAAGTCAGGGAAATTGATGACAAAATTTCTGTGGACACCCTGCTTAACTTATCCTCATAACATTTGGCTAGGCCTAACTTTAGTTGGTTTAACTTATTTCATCCTTAGCTGTTTTATGTTAACACTTGACTAAAAACACACCTTATTGACTTAGGCCTACTTAAACCTTACCTTCCCCCTTCTTTTAACATTAAAACTTTTCCTTCTTGTAGCATCAAACCTAGGGAGGCCTAAGTTAAGTTAAGTAGCCTAAACCTCATATTAACTTAGTTGTTTTGGTGATTCGATAGCTCAGTTGGTAGCGCCATAGACCTAGGGCCCAAGGCAGCGATGTCGTTGGTTCAGTTCCTGGTAACTTACCTGCCATTAAGTTACTTTTGATCAGTAACCTAAATTAGTTCTCCCTTGTACTGTACAGGCTTACCCTACCACTTGCTTTACTGGATACGTTCCACGCACAGGCCTCTGTGGCCCATGTGGACGGACGATTGTAAGGTAAAAGTAGGTAGCCTACCTTTTTTTATAAAAAAGAAAACCTAATGTTTTTAAATTGGGGAAGAAATCTGACATAGGCCTAAGCAAGTTATATTAGGAAGCAAAGTGATTGAGTAAAAATCAAATAAGTTAATATAGCATTATTTTTTTTATTTCACAGGGATTCTTGGATTTTTGGCACTATACCTGCTATTTGGATATGGTGCACAGTTGGTGTGTAATACCATTGGCTTTCTTTACCCTGCATATTGTTCGATGAAAGCCATTGAATCGCCACAGAAGGGTGACGACACAAAATGGCTCACCTACTGGACTGTTTACGCTCTTCTATCTATTGTAGAGTATCCGTCCGATATTCTGCTTCACTGGTTCCCGTTCTACTGGCTTGTTAAGGTAGGCCTGCTTTATTTTACAGTCATAAGTAGTTTATTTTATTTATAGTATACTAACTTTAATATATTTTTACAACTGTTTGCCAAATACCTAAGTTACTAATATTTCACTTTCAGCTTTGTTAATTAGGCTATCTTATCTTAGTAGGCTACTAAGATCATCTGTTTCATAAACTTACATTTCAAAATAAGCCTACTCTAGTGTTAGTGTAGTGTTTGTTTTAAGGGGTCTGACTTACTAGAGGTATAAATGAGGCATATTAGTTAAACATTCTTACGGGAACAGCGCTGTAGTAGAGAGCACTTGGCTATAATGAAGGTTTACTAATCGAAAAAATAGTTCTGTTAATAAATTAAAATTATAAATGCCTCCAATTCAATTTTATAGTTTTTAATTTAAAAATCAAACTGTCGTAACCTAACCCTACTAACCAAACTTGCTGATAATGAAAAAATCTTAGACAAAATGTTAGTGCTGCCGGTGGGATTCGAACCTGGGACCTTCAGCTTATCAGCCTGCTACGCTAACCATTGGACCACCGAGGCTGATGGCTCCACTCCGTATCGTTGCGGTAATGGTGTTCCCTCAGCTAATCAGCTGTCATCGTAAGCTCATATGAGTAAACGAGTAAAGCTCCTTGAGTAAACACCGTGTTTTAAGTTAGTGTATGCCTACCGGTATTCATTGTATGAATTTGAGGAATCTCCAAATCGTGTTAAGGGAGTGAATTGAAAATAAAAAACTTAATTTTAGATTATGTCCCATTTATTGACAACTTTTTAAAGATAAAGTTTCAAACTACCAAAATTACTTACAATAACTTGTGACTTGATTGTAAACATCTAAAATGAGTTAATGGCAGCAGATAATTCCTGAATGACTATCATGTCAGAATCAAAATCAAAAACATTACGGTATTTTTGTACAATTGCAAATTGCAATTGTGTAGAAAACTTAAAGCCCAACCATCATGTGATAAAATCTTAATTTTTAAGGCAATATTCTTCACCTGGTGTTTCTGGCCTACCACCAACAATGGTTCTATTCTGCTGTACGACAAGGTGATCCGTCCCAGATTCCTCAAACACCAAGCCGATGTCGACGACGCCATTTCCAACATTGTTGGCGGAGGTTAGTGTTTTCAAGTCAATTTTTATAAAGAATGGTTTTTAGAAGATATGAGACTCTATATTTTTGTCTCTATTGTGGCCAGCCTATTTATTTATCAGTTTCATTTTCAATAAATTTTTAAGAGTTTAAAGGAATCTCAACACAATAATTAGAATAATTTCAATCAATATTTAGAATTTTGATATTTAGTGTCTGTCCATTCCTTTTGCATTTTTATAAAGAGGATCTCAAAGCTTTTCATATCTTGAAAGTGGCCAAAAGCCCTAGAGTTTTTTGTAGACATCCTAGGGATTGAAACAAGACCCATTAGAAAAAACAGGCCATGCTGCAGGATCCATGACGTCACACTAGTGGATGGATTTGTTGATAGATCCATTGCAATATCCCATATGTTTAAGGTAAGGTGGCTGTTTGTCAGATTTTAATGGTAAGATTTTAGTACAACTATCCACCACTGTGACGTAGTGTTGCCCTGCAGCATGGCCTGTTTTTCTAGTTGGGCCTTGATTCAAACCACTCATCTCACACTTTTAAGTCCTATCAACCCCTCAATAGTGTCAAGAGATACTTTTTACTTGCATTTTTTTTCATAAAAAGGCTAGCTGGTTTCTGCTGACCATTCTAAACGTACTTGTCTTCCAACAAAATCTTGGGCTAGTAGCAAACATTGAGAACAGGTTAGTTACACTTCAATTTATTTACAGTAGACTCCCTCTTATCCGGACTCCTCGGGACCGAGGCCAATCTGGATAACGGTTTTTCCGGTTAAACCGACGTCCCCGAAATCTCATTAAAACAGACCGTTTAGATGCATACTCTTAAGTTATACAGTATTTGACTTAAAATTAGGAGAGCATTGTATTTAGACACATAATCACTGGTCTCAAATCTTTCCCACGAGAACAGTTGTTTCAGTACCGCTCACTTCCTGCCAATCTAGTCCGGTTAAACCGATGTGCTGATAAAATTATCCGGTTAAAGAGATGTCACTTCTACCGAGTGTGGTCCGGTTAAAAGGTGTCCGGATAAGAGGGAGTCTACTGTATCATTTTTTGATCCAATTTAAAACAACAGGTAATTTTTTTTTGTATACTGTCCTTTATTTTACTTGTAATTATAATTCAAACCATTTTTCCAGCATCAAAGCTTGTTGCCCAGAAGCTACTCACGGGAGATCAAAAGGATGATTAAAGAGGGTAGTTTCTTTTTTCCTATAAAGTAAGTAAAGCGTTAATTATTTTTAAGAGACTGTCTTGTACCCAACATTCTCCAGAGCTCTGAATTATATATTGCACACCAGAATTGTAGAAGTATAGCAACTTCTAAAACTATGAGAGGATAACTAAATTAAAACGGCTGAAGGCTGTACATATACTGCAACCTGAGAATGAATTTAAGAACCACAACATTTGTACTTGTTTTACAATTGTATTCATGGGGTAGGCCTAGTCAATAGCGACTAGCCTGAGGAGTTTTCTCTGGCCAGTTGACAGCACCTTAGATATCGGGAGTTTGAATCTCTGTAGGGAGTAAACAGTTGAGGCTTCCAGGGTAGTTGTAGGATTGGGTGGTTCGTAAAATTCATAAATGTATATATGACATTTTAAAAATCGTCAGGGGTTAGGAGGGTTAAATAAAATGACAGCTGTCACATAGGTAGACCTAAACAATGGAGCTGATGAGTAGTATTTTGGCGAGTACCTTTCCCCTACAACAATGTTGTGTATTTAGGTATTGTCTGATGTGTGTGTAAATTTAGTACAGTGGTAGTCATTTTTTCCTAAGGGAAATTCTAGTTCAACAGTTAAACTAACTAAAATGTTGCTATAAGGTCCTAACCTACAGTACACTCCCGATTAACCGAGGTTGTTGGGACCGAGACTACCTCGTTTACCGAGAATCTCGGATAACACGGAGGTGTTTTGGTTTTTGAGGTTAGGGTAGTGAACAAACTTATCAATGGTATTTTAATGGAAATGTATTTCAACATGTTATTGGCAGTGTTAATAACGAAAACATGTTCAGCACCCTCTGTCGGCAATTAGTTTTACCGAATTTGTAGTCTAAGTAAAATTGATTTACAAATTCCAGGATTAATCCAAACACCAAATGAAACTACTATTAAAAAGTTAAATTTATTTCTTGCGTAGAAAAATCATAAGTTGTTTATTTTATAAGTAATAACATAGAAAAGAATTTTTTGTTTTACGTTACCGCAGCTGATTTTGGGTGATACCTGGTTTCCATTACAACACAATCTTGTTTATTTTCAAAAATAAATGAGTAACAAGGCAAAACAATAAGCAGTTTTATTTTTGAACATCATAAGAAGTAAGAAAAGGGGGCTCATAAAATTATAATAATAAAATAACTAGTGGCACTGCGTAGCGGTGACACGAGCGCCACTCGTGAGTCGGCCGCCGGGCCTGCAGTGGCTGTACGAGTAACGCTCGTAAGTCGGCGCCATTGGGTGTAACACTTCTTCAATTGTCTTGGAAAACTTAAAATACAGTGTTATTTAAGGATGCCAAGCCAACACTTTACAGGATTAAATAAAACACAATAAGGTGGACTCCTGCAGTTTTTAAAACCTATTATTGTTATTATTGTTTGTATTATTGTTGTTTTAATTATTATTGTTTTCTGTTAGGAAATTAAAATATTCAGGCCTAAAACGACCTCGTATAACCCGGGGGCTCGGATAATCAAATGTGTACTGTAGCAGGTACAGCATATGGAATCATAATTTCTAAATGCCTTAGCGAGCCATGAATCGTCTGAATATTTTCTAAATATCCAAATGAAATATTGTCTATTCAAACATTTTCCATGCACACACCTGATAAAGATTCCGATTAGAGTGGACTGCGTATTATATGACTCACACATGACTGATTGATAAGAACTTTGAACTCCCTTATAATCTTAAGAGTTATCAAATAATGATATTGCAATATCAATTATTTATTCAACGTTTTTAGCTCTTAAAACTTGGATAGTGTTGCAATGGAATCTAAAAGTAAAAGGTTTAAGTCAATGCAATGAATCCCCTACTTCCTTAACCTAGCTTAATTTGCTTTTTATCGTATTCTTGACGCAACCTTTTACTTTATCAGGATGTAATTCCGTTGATTGATGTTTTTTGCAGACACTTGTCGTTAGCTGGAGCCTTCAAAGAGCCATTATACCAGACAAGTTTGCTGCACAATGCAATTTATTTTGTATACATCACTCACGGATCTATTGTTTATTGTTATATCAGAACCATTACGTTTATGATCTGTTGGGAGAATAAAAACCTTTTATGTATATATATTGATGGTTTACTTTTATTAAAACCTTTTGACTCTTAGTTTATTTATTTTATTTTATTATTTTTTCCGTTCTAAACCCTTGAACTAAACTTGTCTTGAATGAACTGAGCACATTTTTTTTTTCAAAGTATGAAAGTAAGATTTTTATTTCTTCTACTAAAAAAGTACTTGTTTACCAGTACTTAAATTAGGGATTTCATTTATTCATATCAACGGATACACCATTTACAAAATATGTGTTTTAAGCACATGAGCAGAATAAAAAGATAACAAACAAATTACAAGATAAGTTACATAATGACCATGAAACAAAGCAGCATTGCAACAAAAATTAATAACAAGAAAACAACAACGTGACAAAAATTACAGATAATAACATTAACAAAGTAATGTACAGATAATTAGCTACAAATCAAAGAATTATCAAATAAGAAGAACAAAACAAACTGAAATACATGTGGCACTAGAGAGATGAAGATGAAGGAAGACACCTCATGAGTCAGTTTTATTTAGTCAGTGACAGTGATAAGAGAGTGCTGGCCAGCCTTTACAGTTTTAACCAGTTTTATCACTTTTTATTCAATTTTAATAATTTGATCAACATGACTAGTTTTTACTATTGTGCTTCTGACAGTGTTTTAAAGAATCTTTTGACATACCACAATGTATTAATACATTGACGATGTGGTTGCATACTAATCCAGTAACCTAACGCATTTTACCTTGCATGAAATGGGGTAGTAGGTTTCTTTTTTTTATGTTGTTTGTAATAGTACCGAGATGCTAAATCCAAATTTTCGACCTCGGCGACCTTCCGGATCACCTCCAAAAAGCTTAAAAATCGGTGGAATTTCGCACTATTTTTACGTTTGTCCAATTTTGACCCTGAAGCATCACTTTTTCATGAAAAACAACCATAACCATTTTTAAGGTATATTAAATTACCTACCATATAAGACCAAAATGGTTATTACAGGCCTAATAGTTTTCAAGATATGACTCCGCAAACAACGGGTAAAATTACCAAATTTTGAATTTTTTTAAAGTTTGGCTAACGTTAACCCTAAAGCATAACTTTATCGTTATTTTTCATTGAAACAACTATAATTACTTTGAAACTGCATTAAATTACTCACAATTTAAGACCAAAATGGTGATTATAGGCCTAACACATTGAGAGATATGCCTCTTCAAGGTTCATAAAATCTTCCATAAATGTTTGTATTTTAAGAATCAAGTTGTTCAATTTGGTCAAATTTTATAAAAGAACCATAATAAGAATATAATCAAATTTATTTCATTTCAACAACATATTAATAGTTTTTTTATGGAAGAAATCTATTGTAATTAAAATGTTTATACTATCAAGAGGAATTGATATAAAGAATGAAGATGCAACAGTGAAAAAAGGTTTTATATTACTTTACTTATTTTTATATTACTTTATATTATATTACTTTACATCCTTGTTTTTCTTGATAAGGAATAAGATTAAACAACCTTTAGGTATGCTATACCTTTAAGAATTAAATCAAGAGGACGAATTGTAACAAATTTTGAGAATTTAATTGAAAATAAGACTAATAATATGATTTTTTGGGTGAAAAAGGTTGTCTCAATTTGAAATTTCAAAGTCCTATAACTTTTGAACGCCTCAACCCATCAGTATGGGATTAACTGCAGGATGTATATAATTCAATATCTGACCAAAAAAACTATATGTTATCATGAGTCATATCATGGTTGTTGGTAGGTAATAGTGACCACAGGTGTCCATAAGTCCCCTTGGCACTATGTGGGTGGTCTTTAGCTCTTTCCTGTGTTAAAACTTAATGCCTGCGTAAACTATAGGTTTTTATTGGTATTTTTTGGTTTCTTACCTTGCTCCAACTAGTACTCTTTTGATATATGAGGTTTTAAAAAGTCAATTGTGATTAATTTGAAAAATATTAACAATTAATGTATGGTTTGCACAACAAAACTCGCTTAAATTCTTGTAAATCTTACTTTGTTTTTGAATTATGAAGCAAACTATTGACTTTTTATAGTCTCAATTGGTTTTATACCATTAAGTATATAGTCCTCTAGTGTAATGAAGCATTTTCAAGCGTTAAAAATATATAAACTGTAAGAAAATAAACAAATAAAGTAAAATGTTAGCAAAAATAATTTCAGTATTTTGTTTACGTAATGTTTTTCACTCATTAAATATGTTTTTTTTTGTCAAAGTTAGAATTGTATTCCATTTATATACTCTTTGTGTAATTTAAAATACCATAATCCTATTAAAAATTATTAAATTTAAGCTTTTTGCCATTTTAAAGTTGAAATCAGACAATCTGTTACGCAAAATCAATGTTTACGTAATGTTTTTCACCTATTAAATGAGCTTTATTTTTATATCTTATTGTTGTCTTTATTTTATACACTCTTTATATGCAATTATAAAATCCATAATTGTATTTAAAATTATAATATTTAAGCCAATTTTAAGCATTTCAAAGTATAAGACAGAAAAATTGTTAGGCCAAATTAGTTAATTTACATAATGTTTTTAACCCCTTAAATGGGGTTTATTTGGAAAAAATACAATTGTAATCCTTTTATACACTCTATATGCTATTACAAAAGCCATATCTGTATTCAAAATCATAGGATTTAAGCCATTATTAGGTATTTCTATGTTGTAAACAGTTTAATTTAAAATCAAAATTACGTAAGAATAAATAAATACCGTTCGTTACAGGCCTGTGTTCTATACCCGAGAACCATTTATTGTAACGGTACGTGTGTGTTTATGAACATAGATACAACAGATTTATTTCCATTTAAAAATAAATTGTTATAACACAATCTGTACTCGAAATGAAATAAATTAGTTTATTTCTTATTATGGTTCTTTTATAAAACTTGACCAAATTGAATAGCTGGAAAGTTGAATCTTAAAATACAAACATTAATTTTATGAACCTTGAAGAGGCATCTCAATGTGTTAGGCCTATAATCACCATTTTGGTCTTAAATTGTGAGTAATTTAATGCAGTTTCAAAGTAATTATGGTTGTTTTAATGAAAAATAACGATAAAGTTATGCTTTAGGGTTAACGTTAGCCAAACTTTAAAAAAATTCAAAATTTGGTAATTTTAGCCGTTGTTTGCGGAGTCATATCTTGAAAACTATTAGGCCTGTAATAACCATTTTGGTCTTATATGGTAGGTAATTTAATATACTTTAAAAATGGTTATGGTTGTTCTTTATGAAAAAGTGATGCTTCAGGGTCAAAATTGGACAAACGTAAAAATAGTGCGAAATTCCACCGATTTTTAAGCTTTTTGGAGGTGATCCGGAAGGTCGCCGAGGTCGAAAATTTGGATTTAGCATCTCGGTATCATTACAAACAACATAAAAAAAAGAAACCTACTACCCCATTTCATGCAAGGTAGACCCTGATTTTTTAACAAGGTTACTGGGTTATACAATGACCTGACAATGTTCTAAGGAACTAAACTAGTTGTCATACTAGCAAATGTGGTGGGATAAGGTAATTCTTCCATTTTATCAATTATATATTCCAACCAAGGGTCACAATGAATAACATAAATATAAAGGATGGAGAGGACACAGCTAACTCACCTGATGAAAGGTTGCAGACGAGTCAAAAGAACACATAATAATACTTGACATTTCGCTTCTTTCAGAGGCTTCTTCATAAGTAGGCCTAGATGGCATTTACAAAAACAACAGTTTAAAATAGGATAGTATAAAAAAAACTATATTTGGCCTCTGAAAGAGGCAAAATATCAAGTATTATTATGTGTGTGTTTTTATGTGTTCTTTGACTCATCTGCAACCATTCATCAGGTGAGTTGGCTGTGTCCTCTCCATCCTATATCTATTATATCTATATAATTAATACACTACATGAAACTTTGTCGGTTGAACTCCTCCGCCATTTCTTAACCGATTTTATCCATTGACGTCTCATTGGAAAGAGCGTGTCGCGTAGATTTGCAAACTGGCCTTACATTTTTGAAAAAGTCCCTTGGGCTTTGCCCCAGTGACTGTTAAAGTTCCCATGTTATCCTTATGGAGAACATCATTGTTTACATTTTGATCAGCTGTATAATTTAATTGTTATTTATTTTTCAATTCAATGAAACGCACTGAGTACATTTATTTACTATTTGAGTTTTTTTAAACATAACCCCCAAGATGGATCGTGTTAGTATGGTTGTATCCACGAATACTAGAAAAATATATGTATTTATCGTTGTTTTGTGTCGCTATGACGGATCGAGTTAGCATGACTGTAACTGAAATTTGTGCATTTATCGTTGTTTTGTGTAGCTATAATTTGTTTATTTGTAGTTTTTTTTTCTTTTCAATGCCTCTGTCGCGATGACAACGAAACATATACAGGAGGCGTAATCGTCATAACGATCGCACCTACAGAACAGTGGCGCGTAATAGGCTTAACTCATCATAGTCAGCACCTGACCCTGGAAAATCTCAACTATTAGGTTACAAATGTACCCTAACACTACCCCAAACGACTTTTCGTTCTCAATTGGTCCTCTATCAATGACCTGTGTTGCCTGTACAGCGAGGCATTTTGAGAACAAGAAACCCGGCCGGAATGCTTTAAGTTTATCAATAACGAAGATAAACATGGACAACCTTATATGGCTATAAGTCAGGAAATGTTTGTAGAAAACATTAAAAATCAATACCAGTTTATGAAATATGATACTTACAGGAAATGTTGATTACTGTTACATACATCGTGAGTATCTCCATGAGTTACTCCATAGTTAATTGCAAATATAACTGATATTTGTTTTAAAATAACGCCTGTAATACTTAGCAATTGCTCGAATTCGAGCAACAGGTACACTAGTTATTTTATTAAAGTGATGCAATCAAATTTTATGTAAACGGTTAAAGCCATTTACCAAATAAAAATATAGGCATATGGCACGTCAAAATGAAGCTTAGAGTGTGTAGATTTGCCGAAAAGTATTGATATGGATGAATTTCCGTAGGGCTCTGCCCCACAGGCTGATTTCCAAAGGGCCACGCCTGGCATGCTTCCAAAGTTTAAATGATTCAATTTAATTTAGTTAATGAAACAGCTGGTCAGTACAATGAACTGGTGTTTGTTTATTTACTGAAAAAAGATGTTTTATGTAGATTGAGGAGGGTTATGTTTGGTTTTAAGGAATGGTTGTATACGTTTTCTACAGTTTGCTATATTTTTTTGGATCTTGGATAACATTAAAAGCAGGGGTTTTTTTAGAGTAAGTAGGTTAACACTTCTAAATCAGTTTATATTTTCAAACTAAATCATAGAGTTGCTGTATTTTAAAACACACATCAGCACCACTCTAATAGCTCTCTAGGTCACACTTTCTTCCTGTTGCAAAGCACGGGTATAGCAGCTTGTATTTATTAAAAACCATTGAAGAGTGAATGATACACTAATATTTATAATGTTGCATTCCCTTTGTGGTTGCCAGATTTAGAATTGAAACCTATTTGAATTTAGCAACCAACAGAATGAGGTGATGTCAATTTCTAATTTCTGTCGGACTCGGATAAGCACTCTTTTTAACTAAGCATAATCTTATATATCGCCATTGACTAGGCCTATTGGATCGCCAGTGTAAATTAAACTTATAAGTTTGTCATCTGAGCGTTTTGATACAGATGCACCACAGTCAAGTACTAACTTGACTAAGAGATGGGCAATGCGTATTTTTGTGTGGAAGCTTCAGCTATCAAACTAGTGTTGCCAATATTAATCATCAAAACGGCTCTAGGGAATCGGATTAAGGAGGTTAAAATGATTGCTCCAGCTATGGACTTCCAAATCATCGCTCAATACCACACTGGCAAAAAACTGGTAATCTGTGTAGGCCTACATAAATAAGGAGTGGCCCAGGGTCCTACAGTAATACATATCGGTATCGATTCAATAACACGTTTATTTATATAGTTGGATCAAGCTGAAATATTAATAAGGCACATTAAAACTTAACAAAATACACATATTCTTTACTACTTAAAATGAAGTTGTCTCCTTTTGCAATGCAGGTTCTTTATTGATTATGTTCACTTTTCCACCAAGATCATCAAGAACTTCTAATTCTAACTTGTACAGATTCCACTCGTCTTCAGCCGTGAGCCTGTCCGCTTGCAAATATACCTTTCCCTTACATCTAGAACCATACACCGGGAGTTCTAACTGGCAATATCTCTGAGACAAAATATTGCTGCTGTTTGTAACATCAACGTTATCGCTTCGTACAGGAACACCTAGATATCTTGAACCAACAGGATTAGTGTTGATTATTTTCATCGTCTCCTTATAAACAGGAGAGTCTCGCACCCTTTTCTGCAATATTCCGTGAAGTGTGTAGCCTGTGAGTGCTGTGACCATTCCTCCAACTGCGGCTACGCCATAGAGCGTCCTTAGAGCCACCATCACTGAGTCACTGAAACAAAAATCATATTGTTCGGAAATCAGCCGTTTTTAGTTCTCTAAATCGTCTGCAAAATCATCGTTTCTGGGTAACTTTAAAAAATGAACAGAACAAACATATGGTAAATTTTTCCATTTGCTAACCTCAAAATTTGTTAATGGCATATTATAAATGTTGTTTACAATTTGACACACATTATGAAAACGCTGCTAATTACACAATACTTTAAGTTATGTTTGTAAACAACAGATATGTAAATTTATGACGACTTTGTATAACCTCAAATTATGTGGTCTAATTTTGTAACGATAGGAAGGTTTTTTCACACAGTATGGTGAAAATAGTTGTTTATCACACAAAGCGAAAGTGTCTTTTCGTTACTTAATCGTCAAGCTCGGCTGCGCCTCACTTGTAAAAAACTATTGCGAAAGAGGCACTTTTGCTCCTAGTGATGAAAAATATACTATTGTATTAATCGTTACAGAATAAAAATGAGTGTGATGTGCACATGTGTTTATCACAGTGGTTGTATAATTCACACACCCTGCGTAAGAGAAGACATCCAATGACCCTAGAAACATTTCGGGTCTCAAGAATTCCATCACTTACGAATATAAGAGTGGCTGTACCATTTAACCTGTTGGCTGTACCATATGTAGCCGAGTGTTGGAAATTGAGTTAATTTTATATAGTATAAATTCAATATTAATCAACATCAAATATAATAATTTATTAGTCTTTGTTTTTATGAACAGATGGTTTATTTTAATTTATTTTAAACAATTGAGAAAAGTTGTGTTAAGAATTTAAGAAAGTGATCAAGAACATAACAATATAGTTAAAGAGAAATGTTATAAAATATTTGTTCTTTATCAGAATTAAATCAGTTCTTTATTAGATAATATTTTGTAAAAGTTCTTTATTTCACACGAGTTCCAACATAGTGGCGACCAAGACAGGACTTTTATAGTTAAAATTCAGATTAGGACTAAGCTTATATTTTACTTACAATGGATAAGCTGAAGTCATTAAAGACTGAAAGGACTCAACTAAGAAGGACTTTTACAAAGTGTAGTAATGAAATGGATAAATTACTGGCAGAGGATATTAAAGATGAAGCAGCAATTAAAAGTAATCTAAACAAGTTGCAAGATAAAGCTGATAGGCTTTTTAAGCTAGATGAAGACATCGAGGAAGCCTTGTTTGAAGATTCTGCAACAACGGAAGAGGACTTAGAAGCTGAGTTTGATACTACAGAATCTTACAGAGACATGTTATCTTCAATGAGAGCTAAGTATGACCATTTCATTATTCAGGTTGGACTAAGCCAACAGTCAAGAAGTGAAGTCGGGGATACCGTTCACAGTCTTAAATTAGTATCTAAGAAGGGGTTAAGTCCAAGGCGTATGGGTTAAGTCTACCTAAATTACAATTAAACCAGTTTGATGGAGATGTCAAAAATTGGATAGGGTTTTGGGGGCAGTTTAAAAAGGTCCACGAGGATCCTGATCTAGAACCTGAGGATAAGTTCCAATACCTCATCCAATCTTTAAAACCAGGATCGTCCCCTAGGGAATTAGTAGAAAGTTTTCCCCCATCCGGAACTAATTATGTAAAGGCCCTAGGACAATTAAAAGCAAGATTTGGTAGGGATGACTTTTTAATAGAAGTATATGTGAGGGAACTGCTCAGTTTAGTCCTCCAACAAGTAACGCTAGGTCCTAATACTAAACTATGCCGACTGTATGACAAACTAGAAACACAGTTAAGGGCACTTGAAACTTTAGGAGTCACTTCAGACAAGTATGCTTCAATGCTGTATCCTCTTGTAGAATCTGCTTTGCCCGAAGAAATATTACGAGCCTGGGAGCGGCATCGTTCAAGTAGGTTACTACACACACCCTCAACTTCTACATCGTCAGATCTAGTAATTTCTAGTAATTTTCTAGAAGAACTTCTTGATTTTCTAAAGGCTGAGGTGGAGAGTGAAGAGAGGCTGGCGCTTGCTCGTTCTAGTTTTAAATCTGCCACTCCAGGAGACAACAACAGCAAATGCAGCAGCCCCAGGAAAATGTCAACGGTTCACGAACCTCGTCAGAGTGAACCTACGGTAGCAGCTCTATTGACAACTGGTACAGAGGGTCCTAGAAGGTTGGTGAGTAACTGCACTTATTGTTCTAAAGGAGGGCACAATGCTCAAGATTGATCCTATTTTCAACAATTGACTTTAGATGGAAGAAAGGAGCATCTGAAAAAGAAAAATTGCTGCTTTGTGTGCTTGAAGCAAGGTCACACAGCAAAAAAGTGCATGGTATTTGTCAAATGTCTCTTCTGTCGTAAGAGGCATTATGGGATCATGTGTAGGGACTTATATGAAAGTAGATCCACAATTGATGTTGACAAACCAGACTTACAGCAGCAAAGTATAACTAAGCCTAAGTCAGAGGTTCTAAGCAATTTTGAAAATAGTAAAGGAGAAACTCTATTACAGACTCTTTTAGTTAAGGTTGCAGACGAGAAAGGTAAAGAGTATTTGGGAAGAGTACTTTTAGATCCAGGTTCACAGAGGTCCTACATTACTAAAGACTGTGTCACTAAATTAGGTCTAAAAGAAACAGGTAGTGAAGTCATTAATCATAGTTTGTTTGGTGGGGTAAATCTAAAACAAAAATCTCATAAAAATTACCTAGTGACTCTTCAGAATGTAAATAACTCTTTCAAGATCTCTATTCCTGTGACAGATCAAGAAACGATTTGCAACCATGTACCTAGGCTTAAGAGTGAAGAGTATTTTGACATCTTGAAAGAAAAGAACATTATTTTAACTGATGTAGGTGAAAATGTACCAGATGTAAAGATTTTACTTGGTGCAGATGTATTAGTGGATTTGTATACAGGAACTATCCAGAGGATTGACGACAAATTAGTTGCTATTGAAACGTACCTTGGATGGACAGTGATGGGGAAACAACCACTCAGTGGAAGTCGTAATACGTCTCTTCTAACTTTATTTTGCCAGAGTAAACCAGAATTCAGAGATCTAGGGAGTTAGGAGACAATCAGAATCAAGGGCCCTATTGAGGTGAAGCAGAGAGACTCCATTGATGCAGAAGTATTCCAACATTTTAAAGAAAATGTAAGAGTGAATGTTGAGAATAGGTACGAAGTATGCCGTGGTTGGAGTTGCCGTGGTTGGAGGGTCATCCTGAACTCCTAGACAATCATGAAATTGCAGAGAGACGTTTAATGTCATCAACTAGAAGATTAAATACCCTTAACAAATTCAACGACTATGATCAAGTCTTCAAAGAATGGTTAGAAGAAGGGATTATAAAAAATGTTCCAGAATCAGTAGAGTCAACAAAGATACATTACCTGCCGCATCACCCAGTCATAAAAGAGAGTAGCTTAACTACTAAAATACGTCCAGTGTTTGATGGGTCTACAAAGAACAGAAGATGTAATTCTTTAAACGAATGTTTTGCTCCAGGACCAAATTTGGTAAATTTAATTCCATCTAGTGTAATGAAATCCAGGAAGCAGTTGGATCGGAAAACCATGAAACATACATTGGAGATCAATCAAATATCCTGGAAGCTCGATCCTCCGAGCAACCCATGGTGGGGAGGTATGTGGAAACAACTTGAGAGAATGATGAAAACATCGAAGAGATCAAGATTTAGGAAAAGGTATCTTGCAATGCTCGTATATGTTGAAACGCAAGATAATTCCTCTTTCTCAACCTCTACAGAAACAAGAAGAGGGAAGAGGATCAAAATTCCCGAGGAAAATGGACTTGTGAAATATGTAAATAGTTTTGTTTGAAATTTTGATCATGTAAAGTAAAATTCCAAGGTGGGGAGGATGTTGGAAATTGAGTTAATTTTATATAGTATAAATTCAATATTAATCAACATCAAATATAATAATTTATTAGTCTTTGTTTTTATGAACAGATGGTTTATTTTAATTTATTTTAAACAATTGAGAAGAGTTGTGTTAAGAATTTAAGAAAGTGATCAAGGACATAACAATATAGTTAAAGAGAAATGTTATAAAATATTTGTTCTTTATCAGAATTAAATCAGTTCTTTATTAGATAATATTTTGTAAAAGTTCTTTATTTTACACGAGTTCTAACACCGAGGGTGCAAACTGGGGCGGAAACTGGGTAATGAATTCTTTGGAGATGTGATGTATTTTTTTATTGCAATTGAGTGAAATTTAGGTAATTGCCTGACTGCTGTGCAAGGACCTGGAGGACCCTAGCATGTTGGAATTAAGAGCGTGCTATCCTCTGCTACCCTCATAAAATGACAATTTAATAGGAAACGTTGTTGGGGGACCAGAGGGCAGGAATCTTTACCCAGGCCAAGCCAGCTTTGATTACTTATAATTTAAATAGAACACAGAACTACACCTAACCTTCCAAACTAAACTGCTAAATAGTGTAAAATTGAGAAAATGATAAAATAGGTCTGTTGCGTTCCCTAACTCCTTATTGAACAGATTTGGACTCCTAAGGGCCGCTTTCCCCATTGGGCAAATTCCCTAAGGCAATTCCTGAATGATTTAATACTTTAGGTTTTCAACGTGGTGACTATTGCATGTCTAGGAAGGATTACCTCGTTTAGCGAGGTAGGCCCTAATCATAATTTTTTGAATTCACATTTCTGCGAATAGGGCGAAAGCCTGCTGGCTTCCCCTTAAATTGATAATTTAGCCTGCCATCTTAATCTTAGATCTACTTAATATTTAAAGACTTATAGCCTGCCATCTTAATCTTAGATCTACTTAATATTTAAAGACTTAACCTGAGTTAAGAAAGCCATGGAGTTCGGTGAGGTGAGGTCCTACCAGGACAGGCGAGAGACAAGCTAAATTTACATTTTTATTATATTAATTTTATATCTTCATATTACTTCTGTTGATGTCTTACATCGAGAGTGGGTTAGCAAAATATTTAATCTCTGAGGGTAGAGATACATTTCTGGGACTGAAATAATTAGGTATAATTTTACAAATCTCTTAGATTTAAGAGGGCTGTTTGTAAACTCTATGACTCCCGTTGTGGCCAAGCAAAGTACTTCAGATCAGTGACCAGCTCAGTGTTCCACTGTACTTAATCCACTACTGTTCTAGTCAGTTTCCACCACTATGTGATAATTAAGTCTGGTTGTTGTCAGAAATAAATCTCTCTAAGGAGCCAGATTTTATTTTATCTTATTAAAATTATAATTATTATAATTTTATTTTTATGAACTTGGGTAGAACATGGTCATATCTTGAACAAACAAGATTAGTGTTGATCATTTTCTTTGTCTCCTTTTAAACAGCAGTCTCGCACCTTCTTCTGCAATACTTCATGAAGTGTGTCGCCTTAGACCTAATGCGTATAGCCTAAGTAAAGTGTACATACTTAGGCCTAAACCGATGGATATTGAAAATGGCTAACATTTATGACCAACTACTATTTATGATTTATATGGTGTAGTCTAGATGGCCGTTTTTTTCTCACTAATCTGTTGTTGTAAAGTAGGTTTCAGACTCAATATGTTAAACCTTCCATTGTTCCAAACTAATAAGAGTTTATAGTGTGTACAAAGTTTTTTTATACTTTTGATTAACCCACACTAAGTTATCTTGTCACTGCAGGCTGTGAGAAATGTGACTCGTACTGTAATGGTACATAGCTGTTTTGGATTACCTTATAGACCAGAAGGTTGCAGGTAATGGGCGGTTGAGTAAAAAAAAAGGAAAAAGACACAGTGGCCATAATAGTTAAATCTTCTGTTGTATACTTTAACTTTAAGTTAATACGTCTAGAGGTACTTTGGTATTATACAAACCGCATCTAAACTATAACTTACCGAACCTAAGGGTGGACTATGTTATAGGTTAGGTTAGGAAGATTTTGTTATTTAAACTAATTATAATCTTAGGCCTACTTGGAAGTTGATTTATCGGCGTGGTCGGTATAATACCAAAGTACCCGTCTAGAACAAATTAATGTTACTTGGTTACCAGAATCTAACTTAATTAATTTGTTAACCAATATAACACGTTCACTGCTCACGCCACTTTAGTCGGCAATGGTGTAGTTAGTACGAGCCAACAATAGGCAGCGTACAAATAGAAGCATAGCCATTGACGAGGGTAGTTTACTGTGTAAAACTACCAGTTTACACTTCAATCGTTACCCCCGTTGTACATGGTCATATGAGTTTAGTACACAGGTTAAGTGTTTAGATACCATGGGGGCTTAGCCATAGAGACACATTCACTTATTATTCAGCATTGAATGTTTTTGAAGAGGAAAAAATAATAAACTCGGCTAGATAGGGTGAGGTTGTCTTCCGGATTTTGTCTAGGGCAGATAAATTCACAGAGCATTCTGATATAAATAGGACCAGGAGTAAATTTGGACTGAGGGCCTGGTTTTTAATTTCCAATATCACTAACTTAAGTAACTTCAACATTGAGCATTAGGATTGGTTGGTTTGGTAAAGTAATTTTAAATTTATATTTAGTTTAAATTTTAAAATTGTTCAGATAGCCTACTCACAGACAATTAGTTTAGTAAAAAACCCCAAAAAACAAACCTTTCAATCACAAGGCTATTTTTACATATAAATAAATATACCTTTTAAGTGATCTTCACTTAAAGTTGGCAAGTTTCCAGCAATTGTCAGTGATTTTAACTGCATAACAAAATCTCAACAGATTAAGTAGGTTTTTTATTAATTAGGTATGAACACAATCAACACATTACTCAGGTTAAGTTTAGTTTGACAGTAAGCAGACGACGCGACAGACACCATCAACAGGCAGACGGTGGTCTGATTTTTGTAGCATGCAGCGTTGCAGTAAACTTAAAATAAATCTTCAGGTTTGTTTGTTTATGATTGTGTTGCAGGAGTTTTCTATATAACAGAAACAATAAACTAAAATATAGTCCCCCGAAGGTCCATGTAATTTTAATATACTTTTATTATCAACTCATGCCTATACCGCTTTACCCGCCGTGGCCTTCGAAGTGGCAACAGCAAGTAGGGTTGTAACAGCTGTTTCGTTTGGACATAGATAAAACATATTGTTTGGAGATGGCTAGGCTAATGGTAATTTGTGGATTTTTTTAGAACACAAAAGCTTGTTTACTGGGCCATGAAAATATTGACTCCAATTTAATTTAATGTACAAAAATAGATTTTCAATTTAAAGATTGATTTGGTTTTCAATTCTATATTTTATTTTCAATCTTTCAATAAATTTATGTTCATACATTTAAATTTAAATGAATAATACGCGAATTAATGGCTGGTGTCACCTGTCTGCCATGTTATCTTATGGGACGTCTAGCGCCAGACAACACCACTTGCAACGTTGCCAATTCTACCAGGCGTGGCCTGGAGTTAAAGATGGCTCTGGCTACAGAGTACATCCGGTAAGTACGGTCTCATGGTAGCATGAAAAGACATAGGTGTGATACTCCCGTCACATAGGTTGACCGTTTTACCATTTACCATTTACCATTTACCATTTACTCTTCGCCACAATCTTCAGATCGGGAAGTCGTCAGATTTCTTCCCTTCTTGGAGGGGTCTTGAAGAAGTTTCTCATTTGAGGTGTTGGTATGTGTGCTGTTCTATTTAATCTGTGGTTTTGTAATATGGCCTGTTTATAAGGTATTCGTTGAGTTTGTTTTGTTAAGCTGTTGATTGTGGTTGTTGATTTCATATGTTATGGTTTTTATTTGTTCTGGACCTCACCCAGGCAGGTCTAAACCATCGTCTAAACCCACCAAAGCTATCAGCCTATGTTGTCATAGTGTCCATAAAAAAAAACACACCATGATGGCAACATTTAAAACATCAGTCATGTAATATAAAATACATTGAATGACATATTGACGTTTTACAACTTATTTTTTTAGGGGTGCTTTGTTGCTTGCCTTTCAAACGTCGCCTACCATAGAACTTAATGACTTCTCATCCCATTGTAACTTTTGCAACTTGTTTTTTCGTGTTACGTTTTTGTCCGGTGACACTGATTGCTAGAACTGATTGCTGTTGTGAACGAAACTGTGTTTCTATTATTTTATTTGGTTAAAGGAAAAAACAATGTTTTAAATTACTGAAATAACAAAAAAAAACAAATTGTTAACAAAACACAACCTCTAGCTCTAAAAGTGCTCCAGACAGAACTAACAACAAAAATGGCTTCCTGTTACATAAGGATAAGAAAATACCCCCGCCGCAGCAAACCTGCAGACTAAGCGAATTTCCATTAACCTGATTGGATTTACACTAAAATGCCTTCATAAAAATAGCACATTTATTTCCTATTTAAATAGAATTAGTTTAACGAGTACTTAGGTTTGCTGCAACAGGGAGGGTAAAAAAGATTTTTTTTATAAATAGTTTGGTAAGAAATAAAAGTATTTTCCAAAATCAATCAAAATATGTTCATAAACAAGCAAACTACAACAGCTGACTTATTCTCAATAAGAATAACATGGGAATTTTAAAATTACAATTTTTTTTAATTTTCTCCGTAACAATTAGGCGCATAATAACGCTTCAATATACTAAATTATTTGTTTTTTTAAGCTCTACAAAGTGGTTTAAAAAGAAATTGTGAAATTTTGTGTTTTTACGGTCAAAAATGGGAAAAACCTATTTTTACCCCATAAAACCCCCCATAAACCCCCGTTCCCATAGTCCGATCATGCTGGTTCGCGAACTCGTTCAAGTTTATCCTGCCTTACACCTTCAAACCAAATTTTATCAAAATCGGACAAAAATTACTCAAGTTATCGTGCGGATGGACACATATATATATATATATATATATATATATATATATATATATATAGATATATAAAAATTTGAACGAATGGTGTTTTTGGCCTCTGGGGACATCAAAATGGAAAAGTAAATCGGTCCCGGGCTTAGGTCTTACCATGAGACCTACGGTAATAGCTACTTCCCTATAGGGAAATTCGCTAAAATGGGAAGGTATGTTTTATCTATGGTTTTTAACATGTTTGTTTCAAAATATTCCATTCATTCATATTTTGAGAGGAATTAAAATGCAATTTTACTTTGAGGATTAAGGACAACAATGTTTATTTATTTGGGTCTATTGATGAATTGAACAGTATTTTATTATAGATAAAACATACCGTACTCTCTTTGATTCTATGTTAAACTTATGATCAATTGTTTCTTTAGGTAAGAACATGTTTATCTTGATAGCTTTAATAATACAGCATTGTTTTATCTGTACTCGTATTTATAGTGTTTAAGAAAATTACCTTTCGTTGTCGGGCTTCCAACCCATTTTAGTGTGAAAGCAGTCGTGATGCAGTAATAAAAATGACTGGACGTCGTACCTCGCACCGTTGAACCAAACTCGTCTTTATAAGACATGGATTCCACCCTTGGTTCACCATTCACTGTCCAATGTCAATGTCCATAAACTATGGTAGTAGTGTCAGTGTGTACTAGAACACTGGACGTCGTTATTGTCCAGCCAAACTGAGACGCATTGAAGCATTTGACGCATTTGATCGCATGGTTCCCACCGCCAGTAGTAGTGTCAATGAGTGCTGGAACACCTGACGATGTTATATTGCATAGGCAACCTGATAGTAATAGTGCCAGAGTAAAATGCTACTGTCTAAGAAATTTGTCGTGCATTGTTGTGTTGTTGTCAGCTGATCGGATTGTTGGCGCAAGAGTCCCAGAGTGTGCTGCTGGGACACCTGATGAATGCCTAATAATATAAGCAGCCTAAGATGCATTGTTGATCAGCTGATCACACTGTTGACGCTGCCAACACTGTCAGTGTAAAACACAAGTAGACGATTTTATACTAGCAGCCTGTGGTGCATTGTTGGATCAGCTGATCTCATTGTTGCCGCAGCCAGTAGTGTCACTGTCAGTGTGTGCCGGACCACGGTACGGGTATGACGTGTCTAAGATGCTCCTTTTCGCCGCTCTCATAGCTGCCCTTTCAGTTGCCGTATTGTCTTCTCAATTTCATGTATGTATTTTTGTAAACACATTTGTATATATGGTTTTATTTGTTGTACAAATAATTTGCAGTACTGTAAATTGAGTTGCCGTCTGGTTTTGACAATTTTCTAATGTATTCAGCCTAATTTTGCAAAATACATTTAAATTAATCTTTCTATCACAAATTAGGAGGGGTAAATTAATAGATATGATGGAATACGATGGATTGCTATGAAAAAGAGCAATTCGGTCCAAAACTAGCATTAAATTTGAGCTCAGACGAGCATACTGGAAATTGTTACGACGTACAAAGATAGCTATAATGTAAGTAAAAATATATCTCATGGTCAATGTTTTAATGTAAACTATGAAACCAATAATGCCCAGTAGGATTTCTGATGACGGTGTATAGTTTTGTTGTACAATTCATTTCAAAAAACAAATCGGATCATCAATGTTGTTTACTTTTAGTTGGATAGGAGTTTTCAGAGGACTAGTCTAGGAGTTTTTTTTTAAACATATCATTGTTTTAAAATGCCATTGAAGGCAACTTCTGAGAATGTACAGTAATGCACTAAATTTTATACAATTCAAAACTTATAACCCATTAATTACAATTTTTAAAGAGATGCTTGGTTTCTTAATAATGTTTCTTGGACTATAGATTTACTAATACACTAATAGCATTCATTAAATAAAAGTAGTTAGTTTACATTAGATTACAATGACGCCGACACACCACCGTGTCGAAGATGTGTGAAGGATGAGAAATGGACGAAATGTATTGTGTAGAGATAAAGAAATAAAAAATGTCTTTATTGGTCAGCATTTCTCTGGTAAATATCCGAATAGAAAAAAAACTTTCTCAATAAAACTTTTGCTATATGAAACTAAACGCTTCGTTTCTTACTAAAACCATTGAGTATAATGTTTATACTCAATGCTAAAACTCAGTCAGGACCAAGCCCAATGATAGAGGACAGCTGGGTCCAGCTTAGAACGCATCTTCTTTATGACGTTCTTCATCTTACTGTGCATACCAACGTAAAAAGAAAATGTATGGTTCCTTTCTATACATAAAACTCGTTAACATTTTTTACAAGTTAACTGTATGTAAAAGATTACCATATCCATTAGTGTATTAGAGAGGTACCGTATTATATACTAATTTACAGTAATCAAAACTTTATTACAATATATTTACACTTATAATACACAAATATATCACTAAATCAGTAAGTCAATCGTTGAGTAAATACCTTAATTATTTTTTAGACCTATGAATTTTTATTCACTTTTACGAATTCCGTTAAATTAGAACATATTAACGGCATACGCAACATTTTCGATTATTAGATAAAATTCCTCTTGAAATAACCTTTGTAGTTTTTACGAGCTAATTTCAAAATAACTAAATCCATGCTCCATAAGCGTGCAGGAATTTCATGTAGCCATTAGCAGAGTTCAAAGTGACGCAAGGCAACATGCTGAAGAGTACGGGTCGAATCTATAACCACTTGTTTCTGCTGGAGATAAAACCGATGTTATTGCCTTCAGGTCAGAATCGAGATCGTGAGTTAGGTACTTAGGTTATGCACCTTTACACTGGGTTATGGTGTTGTAAGCATTGATGCTTTGCGAATATAAAGTAGGTACTTGCTAACGGACTGATGTTGTCAAATTATAATACTTCTCAGATTAAGAACTGTTCTCAAGTCGGAAAAGACTACACCGAGGTAGGGCAAGCATGAATAGTTTCCTAGACAAATTAATCATTGGCAAAAGAAAACTGTGATTTTGAATACAGCTATAGTACGTAAAATCTGAGGATTTAAAACCGATGTTGTCAGAATCGAGATCGTGAGTTAGGTACTTAGGTTATGCACCTTTACACTGGGTTATGGTGTTGTAAGCATTGATGCTTTGCGAATATAAAGTAGGTATTTTAGGATTTTATTTTGTCCTGTTAAGTAGTTAATCGACTGCATATTTTTTGTGGATTTTAAAGTGTGCACTTTACTCTTAGGTTATTGTTAAAACCTGACGGTTAGCAAAAGTGAATAGACTGTCTTGTTTGGTAAACATTTGTTCAAATTGTTTAGGCCTAAATATATTTTAAAATTCAACAATAAAACGCACTCAATGTTGTACAACCATAGACTGAGCAATGAATACAATACAATCATTGGACTAACCAACATAAGAGAGTACGTTTTAAGACAATGGTTTTATCCTTGGTACAACCATGTACAACGTAGTGAATCATACCGTAAATATATCTTCAGCCGATAGTAAGGAAGAAGAAAAATTGCTAAATGTTTTCCACATACACATCTCACACACATTATGTTAATAAAATAATTAAAAATTCCTTTCAACAGTGGCTAATTATTTTTGTGTTACTCCGAAACTAATATAATTGTAGAATAACTGTAATAAACAGCAATCTTGTAGAAAATATAAGTACCTTGTGGAAAACACTAAGTGTTATGCTATAACTTATGATGATGTGTTAGCTGAAAACCCTTTGTTTTGTTGTTGTAATGTTTTACTACCCTTAGTGAGGAGGCGTCGTCCCGGACATATTTCTGATTGAATTGCCTCTAAACAGATCAACCCATTATTTTCTATTCTATCTGTGTTTGTTAGATGTAATGTGTCGATACTGCAATTAAAATGTCTATTATTTTTAATTTTAGTTTATACGAACGAAACCTTTAAGCGTATTTTCGTAAAAGCCCCGGTGTTGTGGAATATCACTTCAACGACGTAGACATGTGGCCACACTTCTTGCTCTTTAATTATTTCGCATCTGGACACCCTTGGTCGACCAAGAATGGATAATTGTGGTACAAGTAGGTAGTCCTGCACACCTCTGGTACTGTAGCCTACATTGAGTGGTACAATACTGCATGGCACAGCTTTTGGTAGATAACCAAACATCCAACCATGTTTTGGCGAAGGCAATCTAAATACTATCTAAGCCCATCAATCAATACAGACTGCAATAAACACTGTCTGTGAGTTGTTATCATTATTTTATTTATTTTATTTGCCTTTTGAAGCTGCGCAAGCCAGGCTCCAGCCTAGGAAGTAAAAAGTCGAATACCGTTATCAATTGTTAATAATAAATGCTATACTGTAATATGTTCTCCGTCAAATCCCCAATGATTGGTGAACCCTGAGATGATCAAAGGATGCTCGTTTTCGTAAATATGATAAATATAGACATTTTTTACTAAATATACGGAATTATAGTCAGATTGTTAATGGTTTGTGACGAAGGTAATGCATACAAGTGCTAGTATTACCAGGTTAGACGAGTAATTATGGTTGTTGGTTCGAGTTATCGAGTGGTTGATTCTGCATTCAGTTATAATTTGCTCACGACAATTGAAAATTATAGAGCGAAACTTTTTATTTGATACTAAATAGTTTTACAAAACCATTACGGTCATGGTCTGAGAATAAAAGGTATTTTTATCCCTATTAAATTTCCGTACTGATTTTTTGAACGGTATTTTTCACAACGTACAAAAATAGTTTGTTTAAAATTCAATGGCAATAATGATAAATAATACTTTTCCTATAAAAACTAATGGGCCTAATAAGTAAAAAATGCAGAAGACAATTCATGCGATCATTGAGACCATCATCGTCACTCGTGACGCCGCAAAATTGCTAATGGCTGGACAAAATCCCATCCAGAGGTCCCATCCAAATTAAAAATCATCCTGTCTTGAGAGTCAAAAATATATTTTCCTGACACTTTCCATATTTTGCGACCTACCCACCCTTACCTATATGACATAATCAATTACCTCTATGATGGAAAACATGTTTAACACAAATATCAATAACTTCTGACCTTCTCACATGAAGACATAAAAGTGATAGAAGGCAGATACCATATCTTAAACTAAATTCTCGATAGCTAATAAACTGTTCCTTTGACGTTGATATTTTTCCATACAAATTAAATACTTATTTATTTTCTTACAATGAAAAACAGATATTAAAACCACAACAAATTATGTAAATAAGTATATTTTTTATTTGATTCAATGATTACAAAAGTGTTAGAGGGTGTAAACTATTGTTTAAGTGAAATTCTATGTTTTTCCTGGATCCCGTGTGAGTGTTTTACTGAATACTATAACCAATTCAAGGTCTAGAGCTTACGTTTGTTCTCATATCACATTTGTATATTTATAATTGTTCTAAAGTTTAGTGATATAGTGTTGCAAAAATAATTATCTTTAATTGTGATCATTTCCATTATCATCACCTAAGGTCATGAATCACCCTCTCCCGCGATAACGGCAAAATCCTGAATATCTCCATCGTTCACGGAAACATTATCATCGGTGGCATAGGCTAATCCTGAAATCTCCTTAGGCTATCATCGTCGACTCAGTCAGATCTATTATATTATTAAAGTGGTACAATCAAATTTTATGTAAACGGTTAAGGTCGTTTACCAAATAAAAATATAGGCATGTGGCACATCAAAATGAAGCTTAGAGTGTGTAGATTTGCCGAAAAGTATTGATATGGACGAATTTCCTAAGGGCTCTGCCCCACAGGCTAATTTCCAAAGGGCTACCCCTGGCATATTTCCAAAGTTAAAATGATATAATTCAATTTAGTTCATGAAACAGCTGGTCAGTGCAATGAATTGGTGTTTGTTTATTTACTAGAAAAATGAAGATTGAGGAGGGTTATGTTTGGTTTTAAAGAAAGGTTGTATAAGTTTTGTTTAAGTATTGCTCAAAGTTTTCATTTTGTAATTTATATAGTAAGCTACATGGAAAGAGGCTTGACTAAAATTGAAGAATTATGGTAAAACATGTCATTCATGAAGCAGCAATATGAAGAAATTGATGCTAAGGTATGTGTCCGTATGGAGGTATGTTCTTTTGGATCTATTAACATCAAAAGTAGGGGTTTGAAAGTAGGATTACACTTTTTAAATCAGTTTATATTTTCAAACTAAATCATAGAGTTGCTGTATTTTAAAACACACAT